CCACTAAAGCTCTGTCGCGGTAGTAGGGGAAGTCCCAGGATAGAATCCGAGTCGAAGGGCCTTGAAGGATTCCTAGGGAAGTGCTTCTGACTTCTGGTATGAGACGAATGCAAGCTTATATGAAATTTATGAGCTGCTGGCAGGGACAAAGATTGTGAATGCTCCGGGAGCTGATGCCGATGAAGCACCGTATCGACACAAACCTTAGGCGGAGGCGGAATCACACGTGCCTTATTTGGAGATAGCCTCGTGGGAGGGGCGTACATCAAGACGGCAAACCCAACTTGGCATGCGCAAGAGTGTCACTGGTGTCGCTCCGCGCAAATCACAACGCAGCATCGTCATCACCCCAGAGCGCCCGCACATGGCGTGCTTGCGTTGAGCGCGATGGTACGTATTGGCAGACCAAAGGCCAGGCCTTGGAAAGGCTGGGCCGACTACATCGCAGAGTTTTGCAAGGCCTGGCCTTGAGTGAGAAGACAAATGTGGCTTTTGAGGCGCCGCCGGGGCGGCGTGGGGGAACTAGGATAGCTGGTTGGCTCTTCTAGTGGTGCCTATCTCCGGTACCGCTGGTTACCTTTGTTTTTGACCCCAGAGTATTTCCCTTTTGCTTCTGAAACTGCTTTCTGTCGGTGTCGTCTACCAGATGGTTCAAAATTCGATTGCGAACCGTGAGTGCGGCGCCGAGGAGGTGGCATGTCTTAGCATGGGCTTGGTTTTGGTGAGGATGAATGGTATCATGAACGTCATTAACGCCAAGAATTGCGACATCTCGGAAGGCGGCGTTGGCGCTTGGTAGGATGCTTGTTGTACCCACCTCTTCCTATTTCAGCCGCATTTGAACTACCAGTAGGCAGCTAGCCAGCCTTTTTCCGCGGGGTGAAGATATGGGGAAGAATACCGGGGACTTGGTAACTCTCTATTGGTAGAGCTGGCGGATGGCCTAGCTCTTCACTGTAAGCTTAGTTGTGCGTTGCAAAAGTTAAACACCATTGCCCCTGATCCAGTTATTTCATGCTTCAGGGACAGATGTTCGGTGCTATAGAAAGTACCTCAAGACAATAACTATCGTATAATGAAAGAGAGAAAGGTGTGTGTGTGCGGCACTACTACAGCACACCCTCAGAAACAGTGCCACATGACAATTCAATTCATCATGGATCAGCTATTGATAGACTCTTCCATGGAAAGGTGGCTGATCATCTGGAATACCACCAATGAACTAGAAATTTGGTGGACTTAACCATGTGTGATCCATGTCAGTGGCTGTTTGTTCATTGCTTCGCATTCGCTCTCGCCCCATCACGTTTTTTGCGCCATTATTTCGCATTTCCTTTCGATCTTCAAGGGCAAGAGTTTTTTCAGCCCAAGCACGTTCGTGAATATCAGTGGTCAGACTGGCAGTACTTCGGCGACTGGCCATGTTCAGGGACATCATATCTATCGTAAGCACATCCCAACACCAATTCTAGATGCGCCGTAGTCGCCTGACGTGGTTCTGAATGACCGCGTTTGTAGCCCGACAATATGGTAGGCCTGCAGGCACGGGAGCAGGGAACTTACTCCAACCTCATCCCAGGCATCCCCACACGGTGAGCCCGACGACCCGACGCGAGCCTAAATCTGTAGCCAGTAAACGCTCATATCTTGTGTCATGAAGTAACGCCACCGGTGCTTTCATGGGTGTAAAGGACCGGTGGTGTGTAGAATCTCGGTATATGACCGTCATCCCTAGACGATCACTGGCTCCGCCCAGCACTCTGGCTTCAGATCTTCGCGTATATTCTGATATATTTGTGACATGGGAAAAATTGTCGCGTGACAGGGTGATGTTTCAGGGAAGGATGTTCGCGGAATACGCTGATAATGGATGTTGTTGTACGTTCATGAGTCCAGACTGAGGCGTTGTCATTTCAGCTAGATGTTTGTTATTTTTGAATCGAGATATCAGAGAGTAACGAAAGACCCGGTATCTGCGAGCGATGTGCTTTCTGGAAAAAATTTCCTCCCCTGGTTATTATTCACAATCATCGACACGCTATATATTATGAGCAACTGCGCAGTAACGCTTGGTAGGAGCTGTAGATGCAGATAGACAAGACATGTCTATGATATGGAAGTCATGTCAAGGTTCTCTCTACCCTATTTTTCTTCTTCTTAGATTTCAAACTCTCTCTTCTTTGCGGTGCGAGTAATCTCTGTCCTGGATAGAAGATGTCTTTTGCTTAGGCACTGGAGGTCAACGGGCAAGACGCCATGGATTCCAGCAGGAATTTCGTCCAGCAGCGAAAAAGACAGCAGCGGTTGCTTAACTGGTGGACCAGGCGTTGCGAGAACACTGTACTTTAGAAAGATAACCCCGCGAATAGGCGAAACTGGGTGGTGTAGCAGCACTATAAATCCCGAGCCTTACCCGTCCGCATGCCCTAAGGGAGGCTTTTAGATAGGACATTAAATCTGAACACACACACACACACACACACACACACACACACTGGAGGTCAACGAAGATTGACACGAACTTCTCAGAGGCAACCTTTACAAACTGATTCCATACAGACATTGGGTTGCATTTATAGCTGAGGACGATAGGAGAGTTATGACGTTACTGTTATCCTGAGCAGTCCTACCTCGAAATCCGATACTAACCTCGAATTTCATAGAGACCTGTCATCGTCAGAGCTACAACAAATTATCATTTCTTGACGACTTGTTTGATTAAAATCATGGGATTGAGTCGAAAGTGGTCAAATAAGCTAGAGATTAAGTCACAGCCTAGATCTGTACTTTAACATGAGTATTCACAAATACATACTTCACGACACGTTGGATGCTGTCCCTCAATAATGTAACAGCTAAGCTACCACCCCGATCCGTATCCGAACTAGTGTACAGATTAGCTAATTGGAAGCTTGGGATATAAAAGCCAACCTTCTGTGAAAGCTTATTCTGTAGTTTTTCAATATCCTTTCGTACAGGACCTATAGGTGTTCTATCTAGTTCTTGGATTGTTTGTGTTTCACGCACTTCCATATGCCTCTGAGTGACCCTATCTCCGAAACGAATCCGATACTTCTTGCCTCGGCCGTTACAAATAACCAGATTGATTATTTCCAAAACATAATTCCTGAAAAGGAGATATATGTAACTACTATTGAGGAAAACTGCCCCTGATAAAAACAGGTCATGTGATCTTTGAGCTGGATCGCTAGTCTGTACAAGGCAAAAGCAATTCAAAAATATGTAAGATAACGTTATAGACTAAGCTCATCTCAAGCTAGCTCAGAACAAAAAGAAGTACTGATCAGGCTTAGCAAGCGGTATTCACATATGCGACAACTTATTAAGGAGCGTCTGTAGAATCAAAACACAACAGCACTCTAGATTTCCAATTCTTCCCGTTATGAAGCTGCATCGAACTCGACAACCCTCGATATCACACAGTACATCAATATAGGTAATCAATTCGAATCTCCCCCCTCTACCACCAAAAGTCACATCCGAAATCTGGAGACATCTTAGTACATTAAACTAATTTATTTTGACACCACGTTTTGCAGGAAGGAGTTTTTATTTTCAAGTTTTAGTGCTGAAGAAGCTTTTTTGTCTTATTATCTCCGTTTCGGACTCCTGCACTAATTTTAGAGACAAATTTTAGTGTATCCAGCAACTTCAGTGATAACTACGTAGCAAGCCAACACGACCCTATTAATCGGTAATCAAACTATCTGAATTATGAAATGCCAAAACACATGAAGTTAGCCGGGTTCCAAGACCCAGTCCTGATATACTCACTGTTGGTAGCGAACCACCACACCTACACACTGGACAATAATAGATCTTTCACAAGATGTGGTTGTTCTTGATCAAATTAATTCAAATGACCAAATCAATCCGAGAACGTTCCGCGATCAACAAAATCAGTTTGGGTCCCTGATTAGTTTATTTAAATATTGCCAACTCTGCGCACCTCATACCAAACAAATACCTCACCTCATACGATTCCCCAAGGATTATCACGCCAGAATCTTTATCGAACCTACGCGACTCAGAATCGCACAATCAACTACTCACGCACGAACATAACCTCAAACAAGCTAACCGTGCACAAGTCACTGCCTCATAGACTTTGCTGAATAACATGCGCCTTCCCTATGAACCAAGCATTTAGCGCACTGGGCAATACCGTTGCACATTGATGAATACGCCGGCAACTAGACGGTAGCGATGATAGGACGTAAAACGAGTCTGAAACACGTTGAATGTTGATTTTTGGTCAAAGCGCAGCTACTGCTACTACGATTGCTACTATCGATATCAACACTTCATCACTAATTCACATTTAATCTCCACAATCGAGTATATGTCAGCAGGAGATAAACACGCACTGCCCAGATACAGCCTTGCACTCCGATGCCGTCAATAAATGGAGAGCGAGCAAACAATATTTGTTGAGTACGCGTCATGTTTGAAAAAGGCAGCTAAGCTGTACACGACTCGATTTGTACACTAATATGATATCCTCAGCCAATTGCTCGGGCGTCCAAGGGTAAGTACGTAGTTGAGGGAAAAAGATATATCCTATGCATGCAAAGTCACGTCGGAAATGAGTTGCATTTGGGGTGCTTGGTCTTAGCCGGAAAAAAGAAAAAACAATAGGTTAGTAGGTTATACCATGGCCATACCATGTCTGGGGTATACGACGGGGATCGCAAGCGCTTAAGTCTACTAGCCAGGAGAACCATGTTGCGCGGCTATTAGTCTCCATGCCCGAAAACCCCGACCCCGAGAAGGAAAAGAGGAGAAAAAAAAACCCCCCACTCACTCAAAGGAGACGAAACGTGAAAGATGATGACGTACATTTCATTTCGTGGTATTGAGTTTACAACAATGGTCCTTCTATCCCATCTAAAGCCCAGTCGCTTTAACCACACATACATATACAGTTGTAAAAAAAAAAAAGCTAAAAGAAACCCGTTAGATCCCCCCATGCAGAACATCTAATCCAATCGCCTCCACCAAAGCACACCACGGAACCCACCACCACGCTCACTCCCAATCTTCAAATACTTGACCACCTTGCCCTCCTCCTCACGCTCCACAATCGTATAATTCCGCCTATGCTCCTGCCCCACCATCGTCGGCACATTCGCCACAGTCAAGGGCCCATGGAAAACCTGCCCTTCAGTCGCCGTAGCCGGGATAGCCTCATTAATTCTAAATGGGCCGGAATAGCCAATGCTATGCTTGCCGACGAGCGCCCAATCGGCATCTGATTCGTTTGCGCGAAAGGGAAAGGAGACGAGGGGGCGAAATTCCTTTTCGGTAGCGGTAATGGTGGCGCTCATGAAGCCAGAGGCTGTGTAGATGAGGTTGCCGACGGGGGCGGCGCCGTAGGTTGCGTCGGGGATGGGCTCGTCGTTTAGGGTGCTGGAGGTGTTGACGAGGGCGTAAGTGCCGGCTAGGGCCTTGAGAATGGCGGATGCCGGTAGCGGCGGAGTGCTGCTGGATTCTCCCGAGGGCGGGGCTGGGAGTGCTGCCGATGCGGAGGCAAGGAGGGCAATGGGGAGTGTGAAGCGCATGGTTTTAACCTCAATAGTGTACAGTACCGGATTGTTCGGGATAAGTTTTCTAGACCCAGACTATCGGGAAGAGAGAATTATGGAATTGGGGGGAAGGTAAGTAAGGACTGCTTGTACCGCTGAATGGCGACTTAGACGCGCGATAAGCATCCTTCTTATACGGTGCTGGGGGCACACTGTTTTCTCGTGTATAAGCCACGCTTCAGCGCATTTTTCGTCTTACACCCTGGCCGCCTGATACCGGAGGTGCCCAGGGTAAACTAATCGCTTGGAATTCCTTCATCTCCGCCATGGCGCCGCGAACTGTTTGCGGGGTAAAACGTATGCGTAGTAGGGCCGCCTGTTTGGACACTATCCGATGATCCGGGAAACCCTGTAAAAATTGCGGGATAATGCGTCCCCATAAGCAGATTTTCTTTGCCAGGTTGCTTACCCCTTGCAGTGAATGCATGTTAAAAAGGCGCGTTAGATGGCCATACTTCTGGTCCTCTTGTTTGCAAGTCGCCGGGTTACTATCAGCTGAGATGCAAGGCGTAGGATTTTTTACTTGGAAATGGGGGCGGACAATCATTCGTCACTTGGGTGAAACAAACTTCTTTGCCTGCGAAACAAAGTGGCAGGCGCGCTCCTGAAATTTTGGCTCGAGTTTGCAGGGACGAGACCGGGTAATGGACAGAATAGGTATTCGGGCCCGACAGACAGTTGAGAGAAACCTTGGCCCATGCCAACAATAATACCGCCGCGCCTATAGTAATTCATGCAACCCGCCCCCCCGGCCTACTCTAATAAACGCCGATAATGCACACTTATTTTTTTCCCTCCCCTCAACCCTTGAGTGCTTCCGCGGTCGTATTTAAATTCCCGCGCCTTCTGCTTTCAAACTAGTTAGTAACTGTGTTGTAGCAATAGTCCGATGGACCTCGGCTTATGCTACATCACACATGACAGGCACCCTGGAACGCCCGTCTCGTCAGGCTGCGGCCGAACGACAACGTGCAGCTGAGAGAGCCAGGCTCGGGACCCGCTAGTAAGCGGTGCGGTCCGTAGTATGTCAGGACTTTATTCCTTCAACATCAAACGAAACGTGTTTGCCAAATGTTTGGAAAAAAAAAGAGAAACTTTTCATTAAAGATTATCGGGCTTATGGCTTTCATATAAACAGAGATTCTGTGTTATCTATAGCTCTTTCCCCGGCACAGCATTTAGGCATTAGTTGAACTGCCTGAGGTCAACGCACTTCCAGTTCTTGGCGAGCTTGGGGTCTCCCTTGCCCTTGTATTGGTTGCTCTTGGGGAACTTGCAATGCGCGCGCTCGAAATCAACGCCGAGAGAGGCGGTGTCGTTGACGAATTTGGTACCGACAAGGGCTTCGGGTGCTTTGCCTTGTTCTACCCACTGTACCAAGGCCATGAGAACATTGTGTTCAGGGTCGTAGCCATTGACTTCGCCGAGTTGTTGACCAATGGCATGGGCACCATCTCCTCCACTGCAGTGGCCGGTACCACTGACATGGAAGTAGCGGTAGAACTCATCGAGTTTCTTGGGTGGCAGGCCCATGGTAGAGCTGACATGGTTGTAGTACCTCGCGCTGTTATCGCTAGAGATGATGTAGTCGCTGGTGCCGTGCCAGTGTAGGATCTTGGTACCACTCTTCTGTGCGTTGCTAAGGTCGCCCTTGAATGTTTCGATATTAAAGGGGTTGATGCGTGCAGCATTGTTGTAGTCGTCTGAGCCCAAAGTGGCAGGGTCCCAAGTGGGGTCGTTGTAGATAGCATAGCGGAACCAATCAGTAGTGTAAGGGAAGGGGTTACCGCCAAAGAGCACGAAAGAGGCGAGGATCTCGGCTCCGGGCTGCAGGCGCGGGTAAACCAAATCGCCTTGGTCGTTGGTAAGTGGCGAGTAGACAGCGGTAACTGTCGCGAGCTCATCGGGCGTCAGGCAGGTGGTAGAGTTGTTGCCTTGTTCACAAGCCAGACCCGAGGGATCATACTTGCAAAGCAGCGGGTCTTCGAGAATGCCATCTTCGAGGTTGTCGATCTTGTCACATTGGGCCAAGACGTCAGCATGAACCTGCGCCCACTTTGCCTCCGAGACCCAAGTTGGGGAGCCGCGTGGGCCAGTGAGCGTGTAGAAGTGACCGGACCACGAAGTAAGATTGTTGAAGGAGAATGCAGGGGCTCCGGCAAGGATACCATCCCATTCATCTGCAAAATCTTGGGCCATCTTGAAGCCTTGTCGTCCACCAGTTGAGCATCCAAGATAGTAGGACTTGTCTTGTGGCTTGCCGTAAAAGTCGCCAACGATTTGCTTGCCGACGGTAGCGCCATTGCGTAGACTAGAGTATTTAGCCTGCATGCTTGAGTGTGTGCGTGCGTGAAGAATGTGACTTACGATCGGTAGGCAAAGTCTTCAACAACGTCTGGGTTGTTGTAGAAGGGCAAGCCACTGGTTCCGTTGTGACCGTTGTTGGTTCCAATGGCGGCGAAACCTAGCTGGGATGTGTAGGCCAAGTCTCTATAACTGATGCATCCATTCAAACCGCCGTTACCATGGGCGACAAATCGGCCTGTCCAGTTGGATGGCAGCCAGGCTTCCATGTTGAATCCTGATCGCTCAGAAGTGGAAACGTAGAGTGCGACACGGCACAGGTCGGCTCCAACAACTTGACTTGCTGCTCCATCGCCGCCACATGTTGGGTCGTAAACGGGTATGGTAAAGTTGGTACCAGCAGCGACAAACTCGGCAGTGGTGACGATACCACCTTCAACCTCAAGACTGGAGGCTAGATCAGCACATTTTGAGTTGAAGTCAGCGGTAGCTCTGGCTTGGGGATAGGCGAGAGCTGGCGAAGCGCCAAGTAGAGTGGCCTTGAGAGAGTGTTGGAGCTTCATGTTGGGAGATGAATGATGAAGAATGGCTCTACTGCGTCGACATCAAGTGCTGGGCCGGAGCTCGTCTTTTATCATTGTCCGAAGCTGGGTGGCATGGACGGCAGATTGCTAGCGGCAGCTTTGCAAATTGAAAAGAAGCAGGATAAAAGTGCAGGGCCAACGCCGGGGGCCTAGTTTGGACGGGGACGGATGCAGGGACGTAGTCGGTCGAGTGGCATCAGGTTTGGCGCGGCGGCTAAAAACAACGTCAAGACTCATCGGGACATGCACATGCACATGCAGGACAGGACAGGATCTGGAAGCTGGGGGAACTCGTGTTGCAGGCCGGCATATTGACTGCGTAATGAGCTAGGTGTGGCCCGGGACCCACAATGGCGAACTGGGCCGATAGGGTGAGTGCAGGTCTTGTGAGTACAGCTATCGAGGTACTATGGACTACGATGCTGCTGCCCCAGTGGCAAGCTTTCCCTCTGGTGCGAAAGGTTGACACCAAGTCGGTGACAAGGCTTTTTTGGGCGAGGTGTGCATTCACTAGGTGGTTCGGTTTCTGAAGAGATTGCGCCCCAATGCGTAGGGTGGTGTATGCACTGGACTGGACTGGACTGAGAGCAAGGCCAGCCAAGCGAGCCCCGGCGGAGGCAACGACATGTGTAGTGTGCATGTAGCAAGTGGTTAGTCGTGGTGGTACATGGTACTACTACTTACGGTAGCTCGGCCAAAGTGGCAGAGGCTGAAGTCATGCTAGTCCGTGGGCCGACTCATGCGACCAACAGGAACAGTTGTCGGGCCCAGCACCGACACAAGCCCGTTGGACCACGGTAACCGTAGTACGCATAGTGTACAGACTGAGCACGTCCAGCACTCCATGTACTCGTACTCTGCAAAAGCGGAGTAGCGGAGTCGGTCGGCGCAGTTGCCAGGAAGAAACACGGGCACAGGCCCACAGTGCGGAGAATGGCGGGGAGGACAAAGAATGAGAAGATGAGGGGTGGGGGCGAGCAATGCAGGTTGCGTCATGCCTTCGGCCTCTATCCAGCCGGAACGCGGATACAATCCGCCGGGCCCAGTGCTGCCCTTGTTCATTATTGTCCACTACTACTCGGTAGCTTAACAAAACACTAGCTGCCACCACAAACACGGCTTCTTTCACTCGCCATGTGGAATGGCCATGGTCACTTGCAAATTCCGATGCAATGGCACGCGTCAAACTCTATCGATGCGGCACAGCCAGTAGCTGCATCGACTGTGGCGTTCACTTGACCATGACTAGGCTAGCTCATTGTGGCAGGGACCCTGGCCTACTCTTAGTCTCCAATCCACTTCCACGCCATGCTCCCCCCTCCCCCCTATGCACCGCCTGGTCCATGTACACAACAACTGCCGACTGGCTACAATCTCGACAATGCGCGACAATCCTTCGACGAGTCAGCCGACCCACCCTGCCGCTATGTGGTGACATGCACCTCGACCCTCTCATACCTTCCAGGCCTTGCTAACAAACCCCTCAATATCCTCCCACAGATCTGCCGGCCGCTCCAGAGCCGCAAAGTGCCCGCCCCGTTCGTGCCGCTGGTAGAAGACCAGATTCGTCTCCTTTTCCAGAATGCTCTTGACTGCCACCCCCAGCTCGAACCGGAAGAATGAATAGCCCAAAGGTTTCTCAGTGAACTTCCATTTCGGAATCGGGGCACCCCCAAAATACTGGCGGTAAACACCAAGGCACGACGGGAAGCAACCGGAAAACCAGTACAAGGAAATGTTGGTCAGAATCTCATCGAGCGATGGATCTTCATCTGACCATTCCAGCATCTTCTCCCCGATCCTGCCAAACGTCAGTTTGCCTGCTACTACTACTACTACTACTACTACTACTACTACCACATGTACCTGAATCCAAAGAAAACACATACCATGCCAACATCGCCAATGGGTTCGACGCCACGACGCTTCCAATGGTGCCCGGCCTGGTGCCGTGTTCGAGAGCATAGCCTATGCCAGTCGTGATCCACTTCTGGGCACGGCCAAGCGTCTCTCGTTCTACTTCATCCATAACCGTGTTCTCGTCCGGGTTGGGAAGAGAAGCAATCATGTTCACTGAACACATGAGTACTTCACCAGCGAATACTTTGGGCCTACCACTTACAGTGTATTCCAACGCACGCCTCATGTTCTCTAGCCAGGATTTGCGCCGTGAAATGCCCCACGTCTCCTCCCTGACCAAGATATTTGTTAAACCCTAGGTTCAGCATGAGCTGATTCATGACACGACTGGAATCCTCGAGGTCCCACTGCTTATCGTGAGATTGTATCGTGCTAAGAGTGTAGCCGGGCAATGACGGCACCACGATGTGGTACGGCAAATCCTTGGTCGAATACTTTTTTTTTACAATGCTGAGTATGGGCAGGAACTCGATGAAGCTGCCAGGCCATCCATGCATGAGTATTATAGGAATTGCATCCTTCTTCTCAGAGAAGAGAGCGACAAAATGCAAATCGACATCTTCAATCTGCATCTTATAATTCGGGAAAGAGTTGATATGCCTTTCAGCAGCACGCCAGTCATATTGGCTAAGCCAGTAATCCTTCGTCTCGGAAAGCCATTTGCGTGTTACACCAAAGCGACGGTCTTCTTGCCGCCCCTCCCATGTGTCTGGCGGAAGCCTGGAGAGCTGGAGAAGCTGTCTCCACTCGGACAGGTCCTGGTCGGAGATGTTGAGCGTAAATGGCTTGGCCGAGTCTGGTGGAGAGTAAGACATGTTTGTCATTGAGGAATGGAATCGGTTTGTCATGTTTTGGAAGGGGCATGGCCAGGTATTTAAGGACAAGGCGAGACGCCCTGGCTTGTACATGTGCGTATAGCATGCTGCATATGCCTGCAGGGTACCGGTGTCATATTCTCTGTCAGCCGATAGTACACCCAAACTGGAGAACCCAGGCCAGCCCATCCAAACAAGTCACATTTACTACCAAATACCAGCACCACTACAACATTGCTTTTTCACAAAAATCTGATTCAACAAGTAGTATGCTAGCTATATATTTACTATGCCCAAGTAAATGTGAGAGATAATATACTACCAATAATGTTGCAGCAGGAATACAGATTTAAAGCGGGCTTCATACAGTCGGATCTGGATGGTTTTGTTTCCGACTACTATGTCGATCAACCGAAACAGAGAGCGCACACGTCAGCACACATATAGTCAAACGGGACTTGTCTCTTCCAGAACTATATACATGTTCAATACGGTATGCGGTGTACAGCAAGGTATTAACGATAGCACTTGCCCAATCATGTACCTCGTTCGCGAGGGTTGCCCCTCTTTGCGTCAAGGTGTTTTGGCACGATACCCTGTTAACTTGACTTGGCTCTTTGTGGCTTCTCAGCTACATCGGTTGCACACATCTCAGCAGCTCCACAGTTAATATGTCCATTCGTCCGTTTTTTTCGGACGGGATAGTAAGAAGGCTGTAGTTTGTGATAAACGTTGATCATGTCAGCTTTGAATACAATACGGGCAAACAGTGCTGCTGTTGCTGCTGCTGCTGCTGCTTGGAGTGGCGTCATGGATGATGGCGGGGCACATCGGACTCAACCCCGCGGCTCATCCATTTTCGGTCAGCTAGTCTAGTACACCTAGACTTTTTTTTCCAACAATCGACTCATGCACGACTGACTCCGCTGCTGCTGCAATTGCGCGCGCATTCAAAGTATCAATTGCAAGAAATATTGCTTGACATGGCGCCCACCCTGGTTGCTGCCATTGACCTGGCCACATACAAGCAACAGACCCAAGGTCTTGATGTCCAGGCCCTGTCTTTTGTTGGAAATGTGTTCTTCCGAGTCACCGATGACAGCGTCGACGATGCCCTTTCCCACCTAAAGCAGTCTGTCGGCCGCTTCGCCAACTATGTCCATGTGTCCTCGCTCACATCCATTGACGATGTTGTTTCCATCCTCGATGCCGGCGCCGCAAACGTCTTTGTCACTCGTCAGCAGTTGGACCAGCTCAAGGCCTTGCATATCGACCAGAACAGGACGGTTCTATGTTTGCCTGGAAATACTACTTCAGATGACGATTCGAAGGCACAGACCACTGTCTACTTGGAACAGGTCGAAAATATCGACCAAGTGCAGGCGGCGCTCAATGGCGGCAAGACGAGCGCTTTCGTCTCGTTCGCAAACCCAGACACCGACAAGGTGCTTGCGCTCGCAAACATGCCTGCTGTACCCATCGTGGCCGCCGAGAAGCTTACCGTCGATCCTGCAAAACAGACTGGCGCCTTGAGCGTCGCCAAGCTGCTCATGGCCAATGCGACAAGCGACCGACCCGATGGCCTGTTCACTACTCTAGTAACCGACGAGCGGGGCGTCGCCCTTGGACTTGTGTACAGCAGTGAAGAGAGTGTAGCCGAGAGTCTGAAGACTGGCCGGGGCGTATACCAGAGCCGAAAGCGGGGTCTGTGGTACAAGGGCGAGAGCAGCGGCGACGTTCAAGAGCTTGTGTCATTGTCGTTGGATTGCGATAGTGATTGCTTGCAGTTTGTCGTTCGCCAAAAGGGTCGCGGTTTCTGCCACCTTGCGACACCCACCTGCTTCGGCGACTACAGCGGCCTGTCCAAGCTGCAGAAAACACTGCAAAGCCGCAAGGAGTCGGCCCCAGAAGGCTCATATACCGCCCGCCTGTTCAACGACGCACAGCTGCTGAGGGCTAAGATACTCGAGGAAGCTACCGAACTCTGCGACGCAAACACCAAGGAAGAAATCGCATTCGAGGCTGCCGATCTCTTCTACTTTGCCCTGACCAAATGCATTGCTGCTGGTGTATCGTTGGAAGATGTCGAGCGCAACCTTGATGCTAAGAGCATCAAAGTCAAGAGGCGGCAAGGCGACGCAAAGCCAGCCTTTGTCGCGCAAGCAGCGACAAATGGCGCGCCAAATGACTCAACCACCAAGGAGATTGTTAAGGAAGCCGCTTCAGTCCCTAAGAGCAAAGACGACCCGGCCGGTACAAAGGACGGCCGCATTGCCATGAAGCGCTACGTTACTGCCAACGAAACCCCAGAGACTATTGCTGCTGCGCTGCAACGCCCATCTCAACGCTCAACCGACAAGATTCTGGGCATCTGCCGACCTATTATCGAAGCTGTCAAGACTCGCGGTGATGCTGCTTTACTAGAGTACACGCACAAGTTCGAAAAGGCAACATCATTAACCTCGCCCGTGCTCAAGGCGCCATTCCCTCCCTCGCTCATGGAACTGGCACCGGAGACGGCCAAAGCCATTGACGTATCTTTTGAAAACATCAGAAAGTTCCACGCTGCCCAAAAGGAAGACAAGCCTCTGCGAGTCGAAACCATGCCGGGCATTGTATGTTCTCGCTTCGCACGTCCTATTGAGAGAGTAGGCCTGTACGTGCCTGGCGGTACTGCTGTGCTTCCATCTACAGCGCTCATGCTGGGCGTGCCCGCCATGGTAGCCGGCTGCAAAAAGATTGTCCTCGCCACGCCACCACGGTCAAACGGCAAAGTGACTCCCGAAGTGGTCTACGTCGCGCACAAGGTTGGCGCAGAATCCATCGTTCTCGCCGGCGGTGCGCAAGCCGTAGCAGCAATGGCGTACGGCACCGAGAGCGTGACAAAGGTAGACAAGATCCTGGGTCCTGGTAACCAGTTCGTTACAGCTGCCAAGATGCACGTCTCCAACGACACAAATGCTGGTGTTAGCATCGACATGCCCGCAGGACCAAGCGAAGTCCTCGTTGTCGCCGATGCGTCGGCAAACCCAGCTTTCGTCGCTTCAGATCTCCTCAGCCAGGCCGAGCACGGCGTAGACTCTCAAGTCATTTTGATCGCTGTTGGGCTCAACGACGCTCAGCTCACGGCTATTGAAGATGAGCTACACAAGCAGGCCACGGCTCTACCGCGTGTGGACATTGTGCGTGGCGCTATCGAACACTCATTTACCCTCTCTGTTGCCACCATGGACGAGGCCATGCAGCTAAGCAATCAGTACGCCCCTGAGCATCTTATTCTGCAAGTCGAGAACGCAGAAAAGGTTGCTGAAATGGTCGAGAACGCAGGAAGTGTCTTTATTGGCGAATGGACGCCGGAAAGTGTGGGCGACTACTCTGCTGGTGTCAACCACTCTCTACGTAAGTTTCGCATCTCCCCTTCCCCCTAGCCCCCTTTTCTTTTTTCCTTTTTTTTTCCGATCTCTCTTTTTTTCGTGGAAATTGTGGCTAATTTAGTTCTTTTAATAGCAACCTACGGCTACGCTAAGCAGTACTCCGGTGTTAACCTCGCATCCTACGTCAAGCACATTACTAGCTCCCACCTTACCCGCCAGGGTCTCGAGAACGTCGGTCCTGCCGTCATGGAGTTGGCGCGTGTCGAGGAGCTGGAGGCTCACCGACGAGCTGTTAGTATGCGGTTGGGTGTTGCTTAGGATAAGAAAATGGGCCTACGAAAAATCTCATGTCACATTATTAGAATATAACTAGACATTATCTGTTTTTCTGTTTGACCATGCCATTGCATTTATTAATCCCTTGAGAAGTACTTCATACATGCCCACTGATTTTTCTGTACGTGATCTTGCTACGCTTCAAACAAGGGTAGACACACGCAAATGGTTCCCCCCACTCCGACCCTCGTATGGTCGTCAATGTCGAACTCAGCTGAGTCTTGGGTACATATCTATCCACCACCGCCTGATACATCGAGTGCGATATCATCCACCGCCTTCTGAGAAAATGCGTATGTTGAGCGAAACTGATTCCTCATCGCTAACAAGCATCGGGTCTACGGGAGCGGTTTACCACATCGTAGTAGCAGTCGCATTGCTCCACTCGTTGTTCTCCGCAGTAGCAGTGGTGTCATCAGCCCAGTTGCCCGTCGTCGCCGTTGCCGTCGCCGTCGAAGCATCAGCCCATTCGCCAGTCCCACCACTCGAACCAGCAGTAACAGCATCGTTACTCCACTCACCACCAGTGTTCTCGACAATGGGCTCAGGGCAGCGCTTCTCGCCGTGACCATAGTTGTTGCAGTTGCGGCACTTGACTCGGCTCCAATCGCGCGGCTTGGTACAATCACGAGCAGAGTGGCCCTCCTCGTCACAGTTTCGACACTTCATAACACGAGGCTTGTCACATTCGCGGGACATGTGACCTTCTTCGCCGCAGTTGTGGCACGCACGTCCGCCGCCGCCGCCTCCTCCACCAGTGCGAGGCTCGGGGCAATCAGACTTGTTGTGGCTGGGCAAGGGTTAGCCGATGATTTCAGTAAAAGAGACAAATGTGGTGCCAATTCCATGGAGAGGAGAAACATACCCAGGTTGGTTGCAGTTGAAGCACAAACGGTCACTGCCTCCTCCTCCACCGCCACCCCTGGGCTTAGGGGGCTCAGGGCAGTCAGCTTTGCGATGACTGCTTGAAGTTAGTATGAACTCTCTGATACACTATGATATAACTTACCCCGTTTCGCCGCAGTTGTGACAGGCCTGGCTGCCAGAACCCTTGGGACAATCGCGCTTCTGATGACCAGTCTCGCCGCAGCCGAAGCAGGCACGTTGATCACCGCCACCGCCGCCACCACCGGCGCGGTTGTTGTAGCTAGTAGATTTAATCGTAGTAGTGAAGCCTTCGCCAGCGCCCCAATCGCCATCGCCTGACGCCGTAGCATTGCCAAACTCGTTAGCATCACCGAAACCCATGGAATCGCCACCAAAGTCAGTAGAGTTCTTGACAGCGTCGAGTTCTCCACGTTCCTTGGCCTCGATTTTGCGATGCTTCTTGGAGTTCTTGTGTGCTTGCCAGTCCTTGGTGGGCAGCGTGCGATCGCAGAGCTCGCAGTAAGTCAAACGTGGGATATGCTCCTTGGGCTTGGGGTAGGGATTAGAAATCATGGTTGTGGGTATGGTGGGTGGACCACGAGCCATGGTGAGGAGATTTGTTTTGTAAAGAGAGTGATTAGTCTTTGGGTTAACGGTTAGCTATGTACCTGCGATGACAAGGGACGGTGAAGTGAAGCTGGGGTGACACGCAGCAGACGGCATTCTGACGTCTTCCATGTAAAGGTATAGTCCCGAGTAAAGTTGTTTGTCACCTTACGGTGTTGGCCTGATTGTCCTTGGTTCTATGCTAATTCTCGACATAGAAGGCATGGGGTTGTGCGCTGCGATGAGGTAGACTTACATTGTATTGTTGCGGAATGCTTTGCCGGAACCCAGCAAGGTATCGATTTTCTGGAGGTGACACGACACGACGCGTTGCAAAAACGTGAGGTGGGGAAGGAGAGGTAGAGGTGAACGGTGCGATACCGTCTAGAGGCAGTCGCAAAGCATCGTGGGAGCACGGGCTCTGTGCGCAAACAACAGCAAACAGTCGCTGCAAGGCCGGAAAATGCTGGGAGATGCAGGAAGAAGATGATAGAATCGTGATATGACGATATGGTAATGGCATACACGCTCTTGTTTGCTCCGGGTGACTGCATCAGACAATGCAGTGAAGACATGATGGAAGAGAACAACGAGCACTGCTATGTGCAAGAGGATAAGAAGAGCATGATAAGAATCTAGCCCAGGGACAAGCATAATAACCCGAAGTCGAGTCAAGGTTGTTCTAGTCTGAGCAAGGTGCTGAATATTATTTTGTGTCTGATGCGGGGAAATGGACGACGGTAAAGTCATTGTACTTTCCAAATATCTAAATACACTGCTTACAAGAGGAGCAAGTCCGAATGGGTATGATACAAGGGAACCTTATGTACAACACAAGATTATCAAGCACCAGTAGGTACGTTGTCTTCGACTTGAGCTCCTTCATCCTCTCTTTGTTCCTCGGATTTCTCTGGTTCCTTCCAGCCAGTGCCAGCCTGTACGAGCACCACGATGACAGACAGCCCTACAGCACACAAGAACAGGGCCTTGATGGCATCCGTATATGCTCCAACGGCAACAGCTTTGTCTTTGCCGTCCAGCTTGCCTACCAGTGCTGGGCTTCCCAGAAGCCTCCTCGTCAGCTCACCGCGATTCTTGAGTCCGGCGCGCGCGAAACCCTTGTTCAAAGACTTGTGCAGCACACGAACAAAGTATCCACCGCCAATTGCCGAGCCAAACGAACCCGAAAAGCCGCGGAAAGTTGCAAGGAGAGAGATGACAATCGGATGAACTTCTGGAAGCGTGAGGTGAAGAAGATGGACAAGCGCATAATTTGTCGCAGCTCCTGTGGCAAGGCCATTAATGAAAACCACAGTCACATACAAAGCCCATGGACTGCTTGGTGTTGATATGAATGCAAGGACAGCCATGGTAATGGGGAACAAGGCCATAGCGACTATTGTGTGAAGATAGAAGCTTCCTGTTCTCTTGATGTGGAAAACCCCTGCAAGCAGACCACCAGAAGCGAAACCAGCATTTGTTGGGATAAGAATCGACCCGGCCACCGCAGGTGCCCAGCCTCGAACAGCAAGAGAATATACTGGTGTGTAAAAGAGGATGCTCCACCGAGCCATCATGAAGCCGGTCGTTGCAAGGCAGGTCAAAAGAGTTCCTCGGGATCGCAGAACAGAGACTGGAATGACGGGGTCGCTGGCAACATAGGCTTCATTAAGCACAAATACGGGAAGAGCGAATGCTGACAGAATTAGGGGTGTTGGGAGTATCTTTGGCCCAGATAACCCCAAGAGGAAGAGGACAACGGTGGTGGTCAGTAGTACGGCCCCGGAGTAATCAATACGAGCAAGTTTTTCGCGTATTGAGAGACCAGTATATTTGGCGTTGTTGGAAGTATGGCTTGCTGGTATCGAGAATAGCAGACAAAGGCCTGCAATGAAACTCAAGGGTGCTTGGATGCCAAACAGTGGTTTCTTCACACGTCAGTCGAACTGAAACAATTCCTACATGGCACAAATGAAGAACTTACCCATCCGATTCGGGGTTCAAGTGCACCTGCAATGACCGCACCAAGGGAAACTCCGACCGTCATTGCAGTATTAGCAAGGCCCATGTATAAACCCCGTCGCCTTGGACTGGTCATTTGGATTGCCATAATGCTGGCAACGATGAAGATGCCTCCGCCACCCGCTCCAGTAATGACACGGCCCAAGATGAAATGTTCAAATGACATGGATGTAGATGTGATGATGGATCCGATACAGATCGCCATTGTAGAACAGAACATGCATAGTCGGGGGCTGAAGACTTGGCACAGTCTTCCCATGAGAGGTGCCAGAGATGACATGGCGATCAGATAGGAGGAAGTGAACCAGCTCGCATTCTCGAAAGCATCGAGATCTGCAGCAATAGACGACTGTGTCGTTGTAAGGATAGAGATATTTGTAGCTGACAGTAGTTAGGACTCTTGTTCTGCGTCTTTCATCAATGGTCACGTGAGTGAGTATTCAGGGAGTGGCCGTGGATACTCAGGGCCGTGTTGTTTTTGGAAGAAACAAAGTTTACGTGATTACAGCCGCGGGATTATGACAATGGCGGTGAATCATACCTTGAAGAAAGATCAGGAGGCCGACGGATGCGACGATGAAAGCACCCCGAGATGTTGAGATGTATAGCTCGTCATTCTTGGCGTATCTTGCAGATAGGGTGGGAGATGTCGAGCGTTGAAGCAGAGGCTCTCGGTCCGTCGAACCGTTTGATATGGCCATGGCGCGTGATCAGGGAGGGAATTCACATGAACGAGAAGGGATGAGGGAAGATGGACATTGCAAAAAACAAGGCGTTGGAAGTCGAAGTCATAATGATACATACGAACATGCAAGGATGCTAGTGTCACAACGGATTACAAATGCGGCATCAAGTCGATTACCGGCCCCTGCACGAAGGCTTTCGTCCGCAAAGACAGCGATACGGCGGTTGGATGCGACGGACTGAAACTGAAGCTGACTTGACTCCCAAGAATGAGAGACGGGCGAGTGTGCAAGGAAGAGGCCAAGGAAGCGCCAGGCACCGTTGCAGCGTGTTGGCCATGCGACATGTGCGTAATTAAGGTGACGTCAACGCTCATTGGCCAGACACGGCAGTGGAGCACGACTGCCACCCGAGCGTCGATAGTGGAAAGCTGGCCTCTACAGACGACTTCACCACGACTGCGTCAGGTAGTCGCACCCCTGCTCCCTGTCCGACGACATGCCGCGATGAGTTTCTTTCTTCCCATTGTCTTTCTTTCCAACCCATACCCACAATGAGGCCACGCCTTCCGCGGCTTGTGCCGCTTCTGTTCGGTATGCACACACGCATGCGACACAGTTAACCTCTGACTGACCACCAGACACGCAGTTCTTCTTTCGATATGTCTGACCGTATACTCACGATCCGATCTGGACCAAGAGGCAGACCATGCCTACCAAAAACCCCTCGGTGCAGGCCAAACACCAGGCAGCCGTGGATCACCGGGGCAGAGCAAAGAGGCCTGGAAATCAAGATGGGGAACTACCGAAGATGAGGGCGTGAATGCGCATCAGGGAGCCCTGGCCTTTGACGAGGCCATGGCCCTTCTCCGCCAGATCAAACCCGCAACAGCACCCTGGTGGAACTTTGACAGGAAATCCGGCATACTAGGCGCAAGCGCATACTACGCAAAAGAAGTCTTCTTCCTCCTCTTCATGAATGGACCTTCGCAGCAGGAACTCCTGACCACGAACCCGCAACCGAAGAAACTTGGGCAGCCGCTCTCCCAAGCCGTCACGCTACTCGAGGAGGCCGCCGCGGAGAAGAACCCCGACGCACTATTCATGCTCGCCGAAATGAACTTTCACGGCAACTACACACATCCGCGCAACTACTCTGAAGCCTTTCGACGCTACCATGAGCTCGCCACCCTCACCGGAAACGCCTCAGCACAGCACATGGTTGGCTTCATGCATGCAACAGGCATAGGTGGGGCAGTCAAGCAAGATCAGTCCAAGGCGCTTCTGTACTACACCCTCGGTGCTGAAGGCGGCGATATACGGTCAGAGATGGCCGTCGCATACAGGCATTCAGCTGGCATATCCACTCCGCGTAACTGTGAGGAGGCCGTGTACTTTTACCGGCAAGCTGCCAGAAAGGCTATTGCATACATGCGATCTGGACCGCCGGGCGGACATTCTATGCCGAGAGAGTCGTACAACATTGCTGACGATCAGGGTGGTGTGTACGGTGATGGCGCAAGCGCAAGTAGTTCCGGGGCCAACGCCAAAGTGGCCAGTGTTCAATCAGACGCCTTCTCCTCATTAGACGATGTGTTCGAATACATGGATCTTCAGGCTCGCAAAGGCGACGCCAGAGCTACTTTCAACCTTGCAAAGTTAAACTATGATGGTGCACGAACTCTAAAGCGCGACCTTCCAGCTGCCAAGAAGCGATTTCTGGAGCTTGCTCGCATGTACTGGACGCCAGGTGGGAAAATCAACGCCAATGTCTCGCCAACCACCGAGAAGCTCGCTGCAAAAGCCGCTGGATACCTTGGTCGAATGTTCTTGCGGGGCGAGGGAATGGCCCAAAGTTTTGAGATTGCAAAGACGTGGTTTAGGCGCGGCATCGAGCTCGGAGATGCGCTATCACAGTACTCCATGGGCATCATGTATCTCAAGGGGCTCGGCGTACCACAAGATCCTGTCAAAGCTGCAGAGCTATTTGGCGCCGCAGCCGACCAGGATCTCGCGGTTGCTCAAGTCAGGCTTGGAGCACTGTTCTTGGATCAAGGAGACGTCTCCACTGCTATCAAGTACTTTGAGCTCGCGGCTAGACATGGACATCTTGAAGCCTTCTATTACCTGGCTGAGATGACGCATAATGGTGTCGGTCGTGACAAGTCGTGTCCTGTGGCAGCTGCGTACTACAAGCTAGTCGCAGAGAAAGCCGAGCTGGTGTCGACTTCTTTCCCAGAAGCCAACGAAGCCTACGCGAATGGTGACCTGGAGACAGCACTTATTAACTACATGTTGGCAGCTGAACAAGGTTTCGAGGTCGGACAAGCCAATGTTGCTTATCTTCTTGATCAGGCCAAACCGCGATTCACATTCGACTCTCTGTTGCCCTTTATGAAGCAAAAGGCTACACTAGCAAGCGATGCTTTCTTGGCCTTGGTTTACTGGACACGCTCTGCTGAACAGAAAAATGTCGACTCCATGGTCAAAATGGGAGACTACTACCTCATGGGCATTGGAACGCAACCTGATCAAGAAAAGGCAGCAGCTTGCTACCAAGCAGCGGCAGAGACGATGCGAAGCGCACAGGCATTATGGAACCTTGGCTGGATGCATGAAAACGGGATTGGTATCGACCAGGACTTCCATCTCGCAAAGCGACACTATGACTTGGCATTGGAGACGAATCCCCGTGAGGCCTACCTACCCGTTCTACTGGCCTTGTATAAATTGAGATTCCGGAGTTGGTGGAACACGTTCACGAATGGTAACATCAAGTCTATCCAGGAAGAACCAGGTATGTCATGGCTTACCATCTAAACCATCATTTCTTCAATATTAATGTGTCACAGTGGTCAAGAAAACTTGGACTCTTTCCGAATGGCTTAGTGCGTTCCTCGAAGCCGAACTTGCTGGTTGGGACGACTACGAGCCCGACGACTATGACGATGGGGGCGATGATTTCTACGGAGACGGTTATCACGGCGATGATATTGACTCAGACATACTTGAGTCACTCATTATCTTGGCTCTCAGCGGAGCTTTGGCCTTTCTACTCTACTACCGAACACAAAGACAGCGCCGACAGGAAGAAGAAAGAAGACGGCAGCAGGAACAGCAAGCGCAGCTGAATCAAGGTATACCAATACCCCAACAGCAGCAGGCACAAGCAGAGCCGCAGCAAGACAGAGGCCTTTTCCCCAACCCTAATGACCCGGAATTCATGAATTGGGTTGCAGGAGGAGTGGGACATTAAATATCCAGTAGTGTAAATTAAAGCATGAATGGCGTTTTGTTGGAAGGGCTTCGGGTTCGATATTACATACATTCATAGCAGCAATTGGCGTAATTGAAGTGCGCTTGTGAGCAATACATTCGGTGTATGAATCGCTTTCTGATAGTACAGTTTCAAAAATACTGGAGAATATGCGGTGGTGTGATGTTTTGTAATCTCCTCTGTTTCACCCACTCACGGTACTATTTTACTTTCTTCTCGTAGGAAAGGAAGTACCGATTATTTTTCGACATTTGTGCTTGATTTGTGGTAGGGTTAATAAAATGTTGATTGTATGCCACGTAAATCCTGCTTCTTCATGTCAATACCCTTGCTTGAAAGCTGCAAAACTATTTCTTATTTTATTCAGCTCCTTTGATTGTTCGACATATCAGACTCTGAGGGCTTATTTTATCGAGTCCGGAAATGATCATGTCAATTTGAAATGGCTGGCATCAGTTGTACTGAAGCTATGAGGATTCGGTTGTATCGATGTTTCCAGTGGCTAAACATAATGCTTCTTGTAATATGTGATTACGGATGTTTCGTCATTGTCAAATGTGACTCATAATCAAGAAAACAAAACAAGAAACAAGAAGATGAGCGAGTATAGACCAGGATTTTGCTGACATCACGATATCTGAAACGAAGGAAATGGAATAGCAAATGTGACGAGACTTCGTTTTCTACTTTGACTCTCTACCACTTTGTTACTAAGCATCTTCTGGTGTCAAACATTACTACATAGTGGTTTCGAAGAAGTCATACCTTCTTGCCACAAACACTACGTGAACAATGAAAGCAATGCTATCCAAGTGACATGTATAGTCGAGAGCCATTGATTCAGATCTTGCAAATCTAGCATATTGTCTTTTCCTGCAATTTAAGTTCGGCTAATTCAAGGAGCCCTTCATGTTAAATCTTGTATGAAATCTGCGCATATCAATGGCGCTCATCGAATCGGGATCATCTCATCGTGAACATCGGCAGTGATGATATAGCACCTCCAGATGTGCAAGTATGCATATTTCCAAACCGGCTTCGGATTATATAGATCTATCATCTTGACCATCGATCTCCCGAGGCAATTGATATCATCATATGAAAAATGGCCCACGATACCCGGTGGCTGGGTCGGAGATACCGGAGTGGTGTTGAGTCCGGACTTCGGCAGCTTGTCAGCAAGCGATGACGTTTGCTTGGCATTAGCTCACTACGAGCGCAAGCTCAGTACCTCGATAACGTCTCGTTTTCCCTCACGCACCTCAATTACTCCTCATTTCCCCCTGTTACCATACCAATTCGTCTCGCCATGTTCGCCAGACAGGTACTCCGCCCGGTCAGGACGCTGCACCAGGTATGCGCGAGCTTTCTCTTCAATTTGCGCATTACAAATACTCTCAGTCTTTGGCCAAATACTAATGTGTGAGACCAGCAAGTCCGCCGATATGCATCCGAGGCGCCCAAGAGCGGCGGCAACAATGGTGTTCTTTACACAGGAATTGGTGCTGCGGGTCTTGCAGGTGCCTACCTATTCTTGAGGGGCGGTGATTCACCATCAGGGCAGAAGGGCAACGCACCGCCGTCAGAGGAAGCTAACAAGATTCCCTCCTCAACTGGTGGCCCTGCTAAGAAGGCCTTCACTGGAGGCGACCAAGGCTTCCTCTCGCTTGTGTTGGACAAATCTGAGATTGTCAACCACAACACCAAGAAGCTTACCTTCAAGTTGCCTGAGGAGGACATGGAGAGCGGTCTGCCTGTAGCTTGTATGTCCACATTCGGCAAACATGTAGAAGCCCACTGACTCTATATAGCTGCCGTCATCACCAAGTACAAGGGTCCCGAAATGCAGAAGCCTGTCATCCGACCGTACACTCCCATCAGCGACGTAGACCAGAAGGGCACCGTAGATTTCATCATCAAGGCTTACCCGAACGGACCTATGTCGGAGCATATGCACAGCATGGAGCCTGGTCAGCGACTAGATATCAAGGGACCCATTCCAAAATTCCAATGGTCACCCAACAAGTTTGAGCACATTGCGCTGATTGCGGGTGGAACTGGTATCACACCCATGTGGCAAACAGCACGCGCCATTTTCCGCAACCCCGAGGACAAGACCAAGGTGACGCTCGTATACGGCAATGTGACTGAGGAGGACATTCTGCTCAAGCGCGAGTTTGAGGAGCTGGAGAACACTTACCCCCAACGATTCCGGGCATTTTACGTCTTGGACAACCCACCAGAGTCGTGGCAAGGCGGCAAGGGATACATTACCAAGGAGCTTCTGAAGACTGTGCTTCCTGAGCCAAAGGAGGGAGAGAAGATTAAGCTATTTGTTTGCGGACCTCCCGGCATGTACAAGGCCATCAGCGGTGGCAAGAAGAGCCCGTCTGACCAAGGCGAGCTTGATGGGTACCTGAAGGAGCTTGGCTACAGCAAGGACCAGGTGTACAAGTTTTAGATGCGTGTATACATATGCGGGGCATGAGACATGACGGTGTGTGCTTGATTGTAGATCTGAGCATGGGGATAAAAGCAGAGCAAGCACAACTGTGCCCATTGGCGGTCACCATTTGTGCTAGTAAAGGATATGAGGTGTTTTGTAGCACATGGAGGCCACATTCGCACGTCAGAAGCGTATAGATTCTAGCTTGAGACTTGAAAGATATCCTAGCATGTTAATGCAGCGATTTCATCAAGACGAGACTGGTCCTTGTTCCTTTTGCGGCGAGAGAAAATGTATTTGAGTATGAGCAGATTTGATTGAACTTTGTATACGCGGTGATTAAAGCCAATCCACACGAAGCATCAATGAAGTCTTAGGCTAGTAAATTCTGAGGACAAAATCTGTCTCACATGGCCTAAGTTGCAACGATTGTAACTCTTTTTTTTTCTTTGCTTAAACGGTGGCTTTCGCATGACGTGGAAATCGTAGATCTAGGCTAGTCATTGGCTTGCGTTTAGATTAGAGAGCGATCTGGCGAACTGGGACTTGCATTAATAAATAAATGCAAGCTTATTACTTTATCTGCTTCTCCCCCTTCCCCAGTGCGTGCGTCAATGCCAGGCACACAAAATGTGAAGGGCGCTTATGCTTTTGAAACTGTTTCCAGGCCATGACACGAGGAGGGGGAGGAGCTAAATATGTGATCCTGGGGTGTTTGCGATTGCCGATCAGGCAAAGTGTATAGTAGCGTTACGAAAAGACGCAGGAGCCCACCACTACTGCTGTTTTTATACACGCTAATACTAGTAGCGCTAGCAATGTGAAGGGGGGACACGGCGTATGCCCCTCTCTCTTTTTCTTTCTTACCAGAGTGATGTAGCAAAGAGCATATGGCTGTGTTGTGCCTTCACATACTGGCATACTTGTCGTGGCTAGACTTGACCTTCATGTCCAAGGCAGTTTCGTAAAAGTTTCCTTCAGCCCTTGCTCTCCGCAACTTCTTGACTTCGGCATCATCCAACCGGCGTCCGATTTGGTCTTCCAGCTCCTTGCGACTAATCTTTACATTTGCCCTTTCTTCCTTGTTTGCCTTGAGGCGCGGCTTGAATCGCGCCTGCATGCGTATACGCAGCGTAGTCGTGAAGTCAATATGTTCCGTATCGCCGCGTAGCTCGGGGCCAGCCTTGGAGTCGCGAGCACTGACGAACTTGTCGCGCGCAGTTTGGAGTGAGAATGCAGAGGCATTGTCGGGCACAGGGACGGCGAGGAAGGTTTCTTCTGGGGAAATTGCCGTTGCAGTCGCGCTCAAGACGCCGAACTTGTCGCAGCTAAGGTATCTAGAAAAGCGAGTAAGCCAATTGCCGGCGTATGGGGGAGGGGCAGAGTCTAGAATGCCTAGGGTTCTGTCGTCGTACCTGCCGTGGTGGCCTTTCAAACTTAGCTGCTCAGTACCTGCGACACGAGTCGCGACAAACACCTGACGCACATCATGCGGTTCGGCGGTTGCAGCGTCGCCCTCGACAATGTTTTCGAGATCGCTAGCAAACACCTTGCCATTTGCGTCGCATGCCAGGCAGGTGGGTTTGTCGGTGGGAAGGACTATGAGGACGGGTCCAGAGATGTCGCTGGGCGCATCCGCGCTCACCCAAGAGTCGTCATTCTCAGGTTCTGCAGGGGCGCTGGGCGTGACTTGGTTCGAGGGGACGTTGTCGGCATCGTATGGCTCGGCCGCCTTTCTGCGCTTCTTGACTTTCTTGTCACCCTTGAAGTGTAGGGCTTTTGGCATGTTTGCGGTCCTGGGTCGAGGTATTAGGATGCGGCGTCGGAGGTGAGAGATCGGAGTTGGCCGAGGCTGGCGCAAATCAGGCAGGTCCAAGTGGAGATTGTGGGTTAGGCTTGCACCACTTGTGCGCTACCCAGACGACGATAAAGTGTCAAAGTCAACGACGTAGTGCGTGGTCATTGTCGAATACCAGAGTATTCTTTTGTGAGCAATCATCATGGCCAACGCTAATGCTGCCGTGAACCAGAGCGCTGTCGTTGTCGGGCTGGATGCTCTCAAAAACAGTAAGTGGTGGTGGATGCATTGTTCACGGTGGTAAGGCAGGCTTTGCTGATGTTGGCATTGCAGACGATGTTGAGTTTGCATTACTCGAAGAAGCGTTTGGCCCCGCGAGTCTGGGTATCATTGTTGTAAAGGATCTCCCGTCGAGATTTCATGATCTGCGCCACAGACTGCTCTCGTATGCATCTGCTCTTGGAAACCTGTCTCAGGACGAACTGAGTAAGCATAGACGCTCTGTATCTGGTTGAGTTTCAAGCGAGCTGATCGTGTCTTAGCAAAGCTTGAATCGCCCGCTTCCAAGTGGCTGGTTGGATGGTCATGTGGGAAAGAGACGCTGAAGGATGGCAAATACGACACTCTAAAGGGTTCATACTATGTCAACTGTGCGCCCGGGTTTGAAGAGCAGCAAAAGGCAGTGGCAGAGAAATACCCGTCGTTCCCAGAATACACAGCACCCAATGTGTGGCCATCGGAGCAGCTGCTGCCAGGCTTCGAGGCGACGTTCCGCGAGCTATGTACGCTGATCATTGACATTGCAGCATTGGTTGCGCGAGCATGCGACAAGTACGCCGAAGCGAACATTGAAGGCTATCAAAAGGGGTACCTCGAACATGTGGTCAAGACAAGTGTTTCGACAAAAGCGCGGCTGCTGCACTACTTCCCCAGCCCCGCATCTGGCCCGGAGATTTCGAACGGGGACGAGGACGACTGGTGTGCGACGCATCTCGACCATGGGTGCCTGACCGGGCTGACATCGGCCATGTTTGTAGATGAAGGAGCGAATGTGCCGCGAGCAGGCGCATCGTTTGCACCCCTCGAGGAACTTGAGCGATCGCCAGACCCCAAGGCAGGCCTATACATTCACTCGCGCACGGGCGCCGTGACCAAGGTCAGCATCCCACGCGACTGCCTAGCCTTCCAGACGGGCGAGGCGCTTGAGATCATCACCCAAGGCAAGTTCAAAGCGGTGCCTCACTTTGTGCGGGGTGCTGGAGCGGGGGCTGGGGGTGGAAAGGTTGCGAGGAACACACTGGCCGTGTTTACGCAGCCCAACCTGTGGGAGAAGGTGGACGACAAGCGGGACTTTGCAGCATTTGCCAAGGAGATTGTTGAGAAGAATCACTAGCGGATGCACATGTGTATGCAGCCGTCGTCCAGGCGTAGAGCATGCTGCCCCACTGTGTGTACATAGCCCTACTGCATTGACTGTAGAGTAGCAGCAAACATGAAGAAGAAAGCAAATCAAAGCAATGACATCAGACGTGGGGCCAATGAGGATCCGTATCAGCGGGCGGTTGATTAGGCAAGAGGACGTTACGAGGCGTTGTGGGTGTAGAGTGATTAGACTGACGGGATAGACGGGCCCCAAAGGTAAGGGATGGCATTGTTGGGTTGGTCAAAGCCCCATGGTAGGATGGGGAGGGGGGGAGGGTCGATGATGGCGTCAGACAGGGGCGCTGGGACCCTGATGGAGCGATTGGCTGGGTGGAATTAATTGGCAGTCGACAGGGACACGCATGGCAGAGCCGCAGGTTTGCAGAGCCTCATTTCAGATAGGCTGTTGGGGACATTACAGTAACGCGTCCCGGCTGCGTACGTGTGTGTCTATTTGGACAGTGGAGAGTAGATGGTGCAGGAAGTATGTGTCGCCTGGCGGACACAGGGGCCATATTGCGCGGCCTTGGGTGCACATAAAACAGCGGCTGGCGTGTAATCTACTGGGACGATCCCGCCCCCGAGCAGTAACTGTGGCTCAACGTGTTGTTTCCGCGCCACATGCCGGACTGGGCGCCATGCACACCACCAGCACCCACACCCACCCACCCACACACACACACACATGTCCATGGCAGAGGCCGCCCGGTCAGGAGGGCGGGCGGAGCTTGGCGGGCCGGGCGACCGGTCGGTCATCGGAGGGGAGGGGGGCTGCTGGAGATTGCAGTGAGCGGAAGTCGGCACGGCGGAGAGGTGTAGGTGTGTCCAAGTAGCCACTCACTCTATTGCTGCGTACTAGTTAGGCTCGTTGTGCAGCAGCAAAAGACACCGCCACATGCGGCTGCTGACTGCCAAGAAGGCTCCCTTGCCTGAAACCAGTGGGGGCGTCGTGCTCTCACGCCCAGCCTTTATGACGCGGCCACCCATGCACGCCCGGCGCTTGTTCTCCTTTCAGCCCCACAGCCAATGACACGACCATCCCGTTGCTGCTCCTGCTTGACAGATCGATATCGCGCCAAGCAGTCCCATCCGAGAAGCCGTCTTCGCATGGGGGAACTTGCTCCATCCCTGGTGATGCGTTTAACTTCCTTCTTGGTCGGCCCAAGTCCACTCCAATGCAGCTGCTATAGTCGCCGCCAGTCGCTCTTTTTTTCCTTACTTTCCTCTCTCTCGTTTCCTTACCACCTTCCCCACGCCCTCTCCATTGCTTCCTTGGGCTCCGATTCCCCCTCCAAACGCTGCCCACGTCCGCTGCATGCACATGTCTTTCATTGCAAAGGCCCCGTTGTCGCTCGCTCGCGCCACAATCTCAAGCCTTGCGACTCCCCTTGAGCCCGCCGCTGGTCCAGGCAAGATGGCCTCCAGCAACCGCCAAAATGTCACTTGGGTAGAGGTATGCAGTCAAATTCTACTTCCCCCCCCTCTCCGTCTCGTGTCGTGTCTCTGACATATGCAGGGTGTTCGTGGCGTCGCTTCCTTCTGGGTCGTGGTAACACACTTGTGCCGAGCTTGGGACTACAGCCTCTGGTCGCCGCGCGACAATGAGAACGCAGCACCCCAACTGCTCCAACTACCCTTTATCCGTTTACCTTTCCAAGGCCGTATCGGTGTCACCATGTTTGCCTTCCTCACCGGATACGTGTGCGCCATCAAGCCTCTCCGCCAGGCAAAGTCTGGAAACATTCCAGCAGCCCTAGAGACACTGGGCAAGTCCGCCTTCCGCCGCCCGCCCCGACTTATTATGCCCGCCACAATCGCTCTCGTCATTGCATGGTTCTTCGCCCAGCTGGGTGCCTTTGAAATTGCCCACCGCAGCGACTCGCACTGGTTCCGACGCTCTGTCCCTACCAACATTGGCAGCCTCGACACGGAGATTCCACGACTGATCAGGAACTTCCAGACATCCTGGTCTGGCGCCAACAACGAGTACGACGACCACCAATGGGCTCTTCTGCCTCTCCTCCAGGGCGCCTTTCTCATCTACATCCTCTTGTTCGCCACCGTCTTCATGAAGTTCCGCATGCGTCTCTTCACCTGCGTTGTCTTGTTCTTCTGGTACTGGATGCGCACGAGCCCAGAAAAGGGTATGTCACACCTGCTCCTACAGCTCAACTCGCAGCTAACATATTCTAGAAACTTTTGAGTGCCAGTTCCTCTACGGTGTTATCCTTTGCGACCTCGGCTCGGAGAAGGGCTTCCGTGATTTCGTCAACAACCGCGTCAAGGCCCGTCGATTCGCTACCGCTTTCCTCATCATCCTCGGCTGGTATGTGGCGTGCTTCCCCGGAGAGCACTGGGAGTGGGCGACCTGGTCTGTCCAGCTCAAGAACATTGGAGACTGGATCATTCCCCAGGGTGCCGCAAGCTACCCAAAGCGCTTCACCGCTATTGGATGGGATCTCATGGTCACTGGAATCTGGCTTTCGCCTTCTCTGCAGAGCCTCTTCTCCAACAAGCTGTTCATGTGGGTTGGCCGCAATAGTTTTGCCGTCTACCTGACACACGGAACCGTCATGAAGGTTGGACTTGCACGATTGATCTATGGATTCAGCACAGCCCCATACCACGTCGAGCAACCAAAGGACGGCCAAGGCGAAGCCATTCACCACTACATTCCCAGGACCACCAACTGGCTCGTTTGGACACTAGCAATCCCCCTCTTTTTCGTTGTCGAGTACACGATCGCTCATCTCTGGATCACCTACGTCGACGCACAGTGCGCCAAGGCCACCAAGTGGCTTGAGGATACCATGTTTGAGAAGAGCGAGGACGAGAAGCATGGCGCTGCAAACATGGCGTAAGCCAGCCATGGACGATTGATCCACCAAGCATGCATAACCAGACAACAACGGTCACGCCGATCGGAGTAACAAACGAGAACCTCCGGTCCGCCCCGGCACCATTTACCAAGCTTTCTTAGTTTTCTTTTTCATTTCTGTTAGGGTAACGATTTCTTTTGTTCAGGGCTTTCCAATATCTACGGATACCAATTTTCTTATTGCATATGGCATTTTCGAGGAGTTTTTTCTGGGACAACTGTGTTGAAAACATGTCATGTGCATAGGGCCTAGATGGGCCAGCGTCCCCTGTGTCGCAGTCGTCAAGACGACCGGCGTGTTGTATTTTGAGAAGCGTGCTCAAAGCACGTCAAACTATCTAGTAATTCAACCACAAAAACACAGCAAAGCTGGTCGCGTGCCTTGTCATGATGTCATTTATATGTTTGTGGTGATAGCCCAGTGCTTGGAACAGTGTTCTCGTCTGATCTAAGGCGGGTATCGCATCGGCATTGCTGGTGAAAGTCTAATAACGCATGAGCTATGCATCAGAATCACAGTCACCGCCAAGGTAGCCACATGACCATGCATCGCGTTGTCACGCAGCTTTGCCTTGCATAAACATTTACCATTTATCCCGTGTCCCCACTCGCCATACGTAGGTCAATAAACAAATCAAGAAAAAACCAGACTCCGTCTCCATGGCGCTCCATGTGAAAGATATGCCCGATGACGTCTTGTCGCGGCAGAACGCCATACGCTTGCCTATTTCGACCTTTCAAAAATTTCCTGTCCTGAGCCTTGGAAAAAATGCACCCACTAACTCGGAGTAGTAATGCAACCACCCACCCACCCACCCACGATCCTCTCTCTCATCACATGGGTCTGGCCAAAGCAAGTGCCGGTTTGCCAGCACCATATCTTACATACAAGGCAAAACCAAGTTTTTTATTATTGTTTAAAGAACAGAGACAAGAGCAAAGAATAAAGTAAACACAAAGATGCAGGATGAACAACAACAAGTTGCTAGTTAGCTCCATCAGCCACACATTGAAAAGATACGTAGTTTAACTTGGCCCTTTCTTTTTTTTCGTGAACCCCTAACTTAGCCACATCCCTTCCGCTCACCTTCCCCATGCATCCATCATCCCATACTCTTCAGTCGCAGTCGCAAAAGTCGTCCGCACCCGCCCGCCGCTCTAAGAAAAGAAAAAACTAAACTAAAGAAAAGGCCCTAGTCGCCACCATGGCCCCAGAACTGATTGCTTTTTTTCTGGAAAGAGCGGTACTCAGGTAGCTTTGCCAAGAAAATGTACTTACTCTAAGTACTACTATCTTTCTACTCTGTACATAAGTTGGACGATGATGATGATGATGATACTTTTCTTGGATGCCGCTAGACAAATGGAGAAGCCGCTTGGCGGATATTGCATGCAATGTTGGTTCTAGAGTCGTAAGTAGTTTTACTTGCAGACTATTTGCATGGTAAATGCGGGAATCAAAGCTGGGACATGGGGGGGGTCTCGTGCTCTGTTGATTTCCGGGCTTTTGGAAGGATGGATGGGGGGATGCAACGTACGTGCCAATGTACGTATGTGTGTGCGTGGCTGGGCGCGCGGAAGATGGGGGCCGAAGATGGGGGGGCAGGGGGAGCGGGAGTGTGATGCAACAACGGGGGGTAATGGTATGTTTGGAGCTACTACCCGATATATGGACCGGTACTTGCGGATGAGGTGAGTTGTGCAGTGTAGTGCAGCCTTCTTACCTGCGGTGTTGGTTTGTGTGAGAGTGGGCTGGCTGAATACGCGTAGGAGTAATACGCGTCAGGTATTTTGGTCCATGGTTATTTTGAACCCCCCCTCTCCCTTCCAAATGGTTAATAGGGCTCGCCCGACTATTATAGGTTGATTTCAAAAATAGGCATACCAGAAAGGTAGAGGGGGGGGGGGCGGACTTGGCTTTTCTCCTCTCTGGGTTACACGACAGAGATAGTAATGGGGGTGTGTAGAGACATCTTTTTTTTCGGACTTTGCTTCGGAAATCCTCACGCGAGGATTTTTTTTCTTGCGACGAGTCGGTCCCGTGTTGAGGGCGTAGACTAGCCGACACGTGGGGTGTTTTTGGCGTCCCGTTAGTGAGGGTGGCTGGGTCTCTGGCGCGGCTACGCGTGTCCGTGGCGTTGGATAGTTTGACTCTCCCGCTCGCTACGCGATACGAGGCGATTTAGGGGCCGGCGAATACGACCACGATTAACGGCGCGAATTGTGCTCCGGGGTCCCGCGATTTTATCGATAGTAGGAGGTAGGACCCTGTTTCTGGATGTGACAACTTGGGGGATGACGCGTCGATATCGCTCATCCTCTTTTCTTCTCTTCGTCTCTCTCCCCTCAACCCCCCTTTTATTCTTTTCACTCGTCTCTTCCCTTCTTTTGCGGCTTGCTTGCTCTTTGACTTGGCGGACGTCTTGGTATGCGGGAGCGCCGCGCTGTGGCGGTGACTATGCATGTCGTCAAAGCTGCGTGGCTTGAGTAGGGTTTAATTTGCTTTTTTTCGCTTCACCTCCTATCTATCTGCGTCTCTCCTTTATGCGTATGCAACGATTTTCCTGGGGTTGAATTGCGGGAAATAGACAATGTGGAAGACACTGGGGGCGGAGATTGCAAATGAAATCCGCTTGAACATAGCCTTGGGACAACAAGGTGTATTCTGGATACTCCTTGGCGGATTTGGATTCCAATATTTGCTACCCCTGTTTATCGGGACTTGGCCTACTAGGGCTGCCATGTCGCACTACCCTTTCGCCAATCTAAAGCTTATTTTCTCGCTTCAATGCACGCCGCGAGTGTTGTGGCTGGTGCTCGTGGAGACAACTGTAGGTTGTGGGCTGACCTCGTATTCTCAAAGACTGAGTGGGTCGCCGTTACACCAGCGATGTGTATCATTATTGCTGAATAATCCGAAGTAAAGCTAGTAGTAGCTTCTATTTTGAGAAATGGATTGTAGTTCTCAAGAGCGTCGAGATTATGGCTAATGCATCTTACTCTTGCAGCTTAATCAGAATATGTCAGTCGGTATGGGCATGCTCATTTGTATCCACAATGTTCGTTCTAAGAGAGGTGGGAGACGAACACTTCCAGCCAGGGACCTCAGATGATGGTCTGAATGGTTACCTTGTTAAATGGAAATGATAAAAAAAAAGGTCATTTGTTGAAGACTGGAAGGCTCACATTGTAATCTTGTGCCCACGCAAATCTTCAACTCTGGTTCGCAATAGGGCTTCCTGGGACATACGAAATGTTGCTAACCCTGATCTGGATTCCACATGGAGTGATGAGGTATTGCAGCTATTTGAAAATTCCAGTTCACCCACCTATCATATCAATGAAAACAGTGTTATCGTTCAGTGAAGGCCGATTCACTACATCGCCAAAGTAACCCAAATCTGCATCATAAGCAGAACTTTCACACCGCAGGTCCAATGAAGAACATGAGTGACTAAATACTTTCATCACTGACAAAAACTCATGAGGTCATATTTGCGCCAATGTATGGAAGTGATTTGGTTTCCAGTAAAGGGAATTGGACGAGCCAGTCTTTCGAGTTTCATCTCGGAAGTGTTTGCCCAACCATGGGTGGTGAAAGCGAGACCCCACGTTCACTTGATTCGAATTTGTGCAAAGTGAACTTTCCAGCAGCGCACCTGCTATTTTGCCAGCGCTCTTAACTCCTTCCATCTCGCTCTACAACTTCATCGACTTGCACCAGCCCGACACACAACTCATACAGCCACTCAAGATGCCTGGCCGCTATACACACCCAAACTGGACTCCAGCTATCATGCCGGTAGCGGCGGTTCCACTCGCAATAGCCATCGCATATGGTATCTATATCCTCGCCTACCCACCCGCCACCTCGCTCGCTCGTAGACAATCCATAGTGTATCTTTTCATACCGTTGTTCTTCGCATTCCGGTATTGCGAATACATCTCGCCCAACTCCGATCACGTCGATACACTTGCCCGAGCATGTATCATCTGGTTCGCACACATGAGCTACGAAGTGTGCATCTTGGAATTCAAGCCTGATGTGCGTCCTGGCCCGGGTGAAACTAGGGAGCGCATCAAGCAAGCATACAAAGTGATCTTTGACCGGAGTCGTGTTCAGATTGTCGAGCAGCAGCAGCAAAATCAACTACAGGAACTGCAGGAATACGGTAGTACGTCGAGAGCAGTGTACAATATCAACACTGTGCAGAAGCAGGAGCAAAACAACGCTGCTCTAGATAAAAAGACGGACGACCCAATCAACGTCGCCGAGCAAAAGTCGCAGTACATCCTACAAGCCCACTATCAACACGGCTTCTCGCGCTGGCAATTCGTCCGCTACCACTTCCTCAAAGTCCTCCGCCTGTACGCACAGCAATACGCCTGGGAATACTATGAATACCACATCTCGCCGTTTCGCCGGGACCCCGACGCCTACATCTCGGACGACGATATCCACTTCTTCCGGCGACTACCCACATCGCTGCACTACCGAGAAGTCTACTGGCGCACCGAAGAAGCCTTCAACTGGAACGTGCCCACAAAGTGGCTGTACGAAAGCTACCACAGCATCTGCGCCGTACTACACGTTGGACTAGGCATCGACGGACCCGAGGAATGGGGCCTGGGTCTCTTTGGTAACCTCTCTGCTGCGTGGTCGGTGAGACGATACTGGAGGCACTACTGGCACAACTACATCTACCACTCCTTCAGCGGCCACGTCAAGTGCGTTACTAGGGGTTGGCTCGGCATGCCGCGCAACACGTTCACTCGCTTGGTCGAAAACGGACTCGTATTCTTCCTTTCGGGCCTCATGCACTCGGCAGTGCGGTGGCAGGTCGCTCCCTGGGGGGATCTCTGGGCCATCACCTTCATGTACACGAGCCAGGTCATTCCGCTGGCTATCGAGGGCGGTGTAGTCTATTGCTGGAGGAAGGTAAGAAAGAGCCTGGGATATGGCGCTGATGCCAAATGGGTTGATCGCTTCGAGTATGCTATCGGATATTTCTGGGCTTTTGCATGGCAGTTTTATAGCATCTCGACGTACTGGTTGGTCAGGGATAAGTGGACAGATGAGAAGATGGCAAGGAACTATCAAAAGGAGATGGAAAGTTGGGGTCTCAATGAGACGGAGTCGAAGAGTGTCTGAATGTGTGGCCCTGCTTTTGGGACAATGGGCATCGGGTGCTTTGTGCAATGCATTCCATAATACATTGTTGAATTTCTGTTTACAAAATGTAACTACAAGATTGGACAAAAGGTAGTAATGAGCTTAGACTTCATATCGAGTCAAAACATGATATTTTATCATTCAGAATCTTTAACATTACATTCTTGTTGGTATCACTAAGTTACACACACACTCTACTCTACGTCATTATAAATTAGTACCTAGTCAGCTCAGGGCTGCACTTGGAAGCCGGGAAACTCCACTTTGTCTCGACAAAGACCTTTTGCATACCATCCTCCTTCTTCTCAAATTTGTAGTAGACCTTGTCGAGATCCTCGAGACGCACACGGTGGGTAACCATCTTGGACGGGTCGATGCGCTTTTCCTGGATCATCTGGAGCAGGGACTCCCAGTACATGTGGACGGGGGCTTGACCGTTGCCAATGAGGCGGATACCGCGCTCCATGAGCGAACCGATGTTGAAGTGGTTGGTGTAGCCGACGTATACACCGGTGATACCGCAACGACCCATGTTGCGTGTGCTGGAGATCATCTCGTTGACAATTTCGCTGGTGTCGGTCTCGAGGCCGAGCATCATCTCAAAGTAGTGTGCCCAGCCCTTTGCATATTCTCCGGCGGCGCACTCGATGCTAACATCAGGTCCGCGGTTGTTGCACATCTCCTTGAGCTTGCTTGTTACCGACTCTCCCTTGGGCAGAGCAGAGAAGTCGAGGGTATCAATGTGGGGGTATTTATTCTTGATGAAGTCGAGACGCCAGTTGGAGTCGATCATGATGACTCTGGACGCGCCGTTCAGCAGAGAAAAGTCTGCAGCCATTTGTCCAATTGGGCCAGCTCCCCAGATGGCTACAACATCTCCCTTCTTGACACCAGTGTCGACAACGGCGTGCCATGAAGTGCACAGCACGTCGGAGAGGAAGAGACCTTGCTCATCGGGAACATCGTCGGGAAGTGGCAGCAGGTTCACATCACCGTAGGGAACACGAGTGTACTCTGCTTGGCCACCAGCAAATCCTCCAGTGAAGTGGGAGTATCCAAACATGCCAGCGGTCCGGCCGCCGTACATGGTATTCTCAATTGTGTTGGAGTTTGTCTTCTCGCATTGGGAAGATAGCTTCTGCTTGCAGTAGTAGCACTCGCCGCAGGCGATCTGGAAGGACGCAACAACGCGTTGACTACTTCATGTTAGCAGTGTCCTTGCATAGAATGGAACAGATCAAACGTACCCCTTCTTGAACTTGGTGACTTCAGAACCGCACTCATCGACAACACCACAGAACTCATGACCGAGAATGTCACCCTTCTGCATCTCTACGACTGAACCGTGAAGCAAGTGAAGATCTGAGCCGCACACGGTGGATCCGGTCACCTTGACAATGACATCGCGGGGCTCAATGACCTTTGGCTTTGGAGTTTCAACCATGCGGACGTCGTTCTTGCCGAACCATGCCAATGCCTTCATTTTTTCCGAGTTGTCTGCCCAGGCCTCATTGTTTCCAGGGTTGGTAACGTCTTGAGTGGTGGTTGCGTTGTCTCCGTGGCCTACGGCCTTCTCCGCCTGCATGGCGGCTTGGGACATCATCTTGGGCGATTGTTGCAATGGATTGCTGATGGGTGAAGTGCGAATATATCAAGGGATATAATTGGAGAAGTTCAATAGAGGGTAGAGAATTGGGAAATACAAGAGCAGTACGAGCAGAAAGCCTACCTTTTCAACTACGTCCAAACTACGATCGATGACATATTGGTGAAAATGTGACGTTGAATCTGCAGCCCTGTTACAACTACCGCGAACCAGCGGTTAATTCTTCCCCCCTTGTACATGCGCCTGTATGGGCTAGCCTAACGTCATGACATGCTGTGGAGGGGCAGATGTCCGCTATGCAAGGTGAATATGGGGTTGCCATATGCAGCGGCATATGTGTGTGTTGGTGGTGAACATTTCAGGCACGCGTCATGGCGATGTCATGGCGGGGCACCACGCGTTTTGGCGATCGCCGTTGGAGCTAGACAGGCAACGATGGCCAGCAAGACCAAGCTTTTTCAAATCGGCATCTTCGGCGCGTGGGTATGAATCGAGCATGTTGTAATTCTGATGTGACTGGCAGTGATGGACCAACTGAGTAGTTGTGGGCTGAGAGTGGCGCGAAAGCAACGGGGTCAAGGCGTCCAGACCGACGTCAAGCTATGGTGGAAAAGAAGACGGCACCAGAAGGACTTATATCCTTGGGATTGAGGACCATGATGGAGGATTGCGTGAGCTTCCATGTGTCGAGCATCTGGGCAATATGCACGTAACGCAGATGCGGGTACCCGGAAGGGAAACTGGGCAGTGTCTAATGCAGGTACAAAGGCGTGTCTTCGGCGTATTTTGCGCAATAGGAAAAATAGCCATGATATCTCTGAAGAAATATGGAAGGCAACTATGCAATTACAAAAAACCTCTCCGGTGGTGTAAAGACTACATTCAAGCGTGTTGTACATGGGATCTACAGGCAAGCTCAGCACAGGCAATACGAGTCAGACTACACCACCAGCTGAAGTCAAGTATGCAGCCATAAGAAAGCGTGCGCCACATGACAGGGAGTGGATACACCACTCCTACATATGCAAAGATGCTACGACCACAAATTTTAACATATATCGGGCTACAGCATAAGAAAGTAATGACCCTTTCTACATGACGAAGGCCCTCTATACTGAAGCACACATTGATACTCAGTTAATCTGTTAAGAATACAGTTGATGTTCATCGTCTGCAAGTACAACCCCTCCACATGTTGCACGCGATGGCGCGCTGTAGCCTAGCAAGCATATTGACACAGCCCTCATGCAGCCATCGCACAGCCTGTGCACAGCCTTGACATAAACGATTAGTATAGCACATGATCTTGATTAACACTTTCGTCTTACGTCCGATGACTCTTTTGCACATCTTGCTGCATTTGCATTGTTGGAAAACAATACCGTCTCATTGTATACATGCCTCAAACTAGTCATGGATCCATTCACAGCGGTCGGCCTGGCCGGGAACGTTGTCCAGTTCGTCGACTTCGCCTGCAAGCTATTCTCGGAAGCACGTGAGCTCAAGACATCGATGACGGGACAGTCGGCCGCTCAGCTGGAGTTGCAAACTACTTGCAACTATCTCAACACATTCACCAGGCAACTATCTACTTCACATTTCGACGCAAACCCTCAAAATCTCGCCTCTGGCGAGAAGGCCATTGTGGACCTTGCTGCGTCTTGCAAGTCTACAGCAGACGAACTACTAGCTTTGTTGCAAAAGTTACAGGTGAAACAAAATGCCAACCATCGATCATACCAGAGCTTTTTGCAAGCGGTACGGGGCGTGTGGAAGAAGAGCAAGATTGAAGAGCTGCAGAGAAGGCTGGACAGCCACCGTCGAGATCTAACCCTGGGCCTCGCGCATAGTCTGGGGTGAGTTGACCCTGCCCTTCTCCAGTCTATATAAGAAGTCTAACTGATGACATTCAGAGATCGACAATCTACGATAAACGTACAGCTTCGGGCCTTGAAAGAGGCCAATATGCGCATGGAACTCAACCAAACACAGATGCTAGACAGGCTGTCGAAAGAAATAAGCGACATAGCCGTGGATGCAACGCAAGCTCAAGCTGCATTGACGCGAGAAGGATCAGCCATCAAGGCAGAAGACCTGAAAGCCATCGGAGACGCCCTGACGAGTTTGGTCGACGAAGGCCGGTACCTGACCAAGTCTCAAAAGGTCTTGTCCAGTTTGTACTTCAAATCCATGAAGACACGACACTCAAACGTTGCTTCAGCACACGCGCAAACGTTCGACTGGGTCTTTAGACCGACATCGCAAAAGTCCCGGCATTCTCGCCCCCCAGTCCATTTTCTCGATTGGCTCTCACACAAAAATGGCATATTCTGGGTTTCGGGCAAGCCGGGATCTGGGAAATCGACGCTGATGAAGCACATATGCGGTCACCGGCGGACGCGTCAGACGCTCAAGTTGTGGGCTAAAGCTGAGCGGTGCATCACTGCCAAGTATTTCTTCTGGAGTGCCGGAAGCACCATGCAGAAATCTCTCAAAGGCCTATTACAGTCTTTGCTGTTTGACATATTCAAGCAGTGTCCAGAAGTAATCTCAGTCGCTTGTCCCGGGGATGCGACAGCGTGGGAAGCCCAGATGAAAGAGGATGAATCCTGGGACTTTTCCGATCTGTCAAATATGGTGCGACGAATTACCCACTGCAAGGAAATGGCCGCCAAGTTTTGTTTCTTCATTGACGGACTGGATGAGTACGACGGTCGGCATTTTGATGTCATCAAAGTACTGGATAATCTGGCAAAGTCGCCAAACATCAAAATTTGCGTCTCGAGTCGACCTTGGAATATCTTTGAAGACGCCTACGGCCATGATGTGACCAGGAAGTTATATCTGCAGGATCTCACTCGCCAGGACATCAAGGTCTATGTCAAACATCGCTTCGATAAGTACTTTGCGCAATTACATCCCACCCCTCAGGACAAACGCTTCAAGGAACTGCTAGAAGAGATTACAAACAAAGCGCAGGGAGTATTTCTCTGGGTGCTGCTCGTTGTAAACTCACTGCTGGAGGGACTTACCAACGGCGATTCGATAGCGCTTCTCTTCTCACGACTGCGACGACTGCCCACCGACCTGGAAGCTTTCTTTGGACACATGCTGAATTCGATTGACAGTATATATCACGAGCACATGGCACGCAGTTTTCAGATTGCGCTTGCGGCCTCGACGCCGCTGACTCTGATGGCGTATAGCTTTCTAGACGAGGAGATGGAGAACGGCAAGTCGGCGCTGGAAAGGCCAGTGAAGCCAATAGACAACTACGAGCTTAGTGCACGACATCAGCAGATGCGGAGACGGCTCAACGGGCAAACAAAGGGACTTCTGGAAGCGCGGCAAGATCCTGCGGGTACGGATTACTTTGGTTATCGAGTCGACTTTTTGCATCGAACTGTGCACGACTTTCTTCGGACAAACGACATGCAAAAGCTGTTGGCTGGGAAGACCAAAGCTGGATTCAATCCCGAGTTGTCTATACTCCGGGGCTACCTCGTCTTACTGAAAGCCATGCCTCTGTCGCAACGACGCGTAACAGATCAATCGGGTCCCGTGCAACAACTGCTGGAAGAAGCATTCTTCTATGCCAGGGAAATAGAGATACGGACAAAGTCAGCAAACCGTGATTTGATCGATGAATTTGGGGCGGTGATCGAAGCCATTTCAAAAGAAACAGGGCAAGACTTTGTCTGGTATCGAGATAGCGCCGTTGGCGACTATGACTGCGTCGGCGACAAGGTGCGCAAAGCAGCATGCAGTTCGTTTTTCGAATACACAATCCAGAAGGGTCTGCAGGTATACGTGGAGCAGAAACTGCAGGCAGACGCCGACATCAAGCTGCCTGGCGGTCGCCCCATGTTAGACTGTGCATTACGGATCTGTCCTTCCAAGTTCAGCGGAGAGATTGAGCTCTTGGACATGGTGCGCTACCTTCTCGAATCAGGCGCAGATCCCAACGAGATGTACGGCGACTGTTCAATATGGGGCCGTTTTCTGCTTCAGATTTCGCATTTGCCTTCTGGCCGACGTCCCTCACAGGACGTCTCGAGCGCGCTGCATCGACACCGCCTCATTGAGCTCCTGCTCCATCACGGCGCTGATGTCAACGTGACATACAACGACAATCCGTTGTTTGCCGACTACATAATGTTTGTTGGGAATCATCGGCCTAGTGAAGAAATCGAGCAAATCCATCTCCAAACCATTGACCTGTTCATCAGTCGTGGTCCTGACCTCTGCGCAAAGCTAAGCAAACGAATTTCGCTCTTAGGCCAATTTTTCATGTATAGCATTGGACGGAGAGGCACTGCTACCCCAGACTTCCGGTGTCGAATGTGGAAACACATCATGCCTCTTGATGAAGAAGACGAAGAGAGTTTGGCAAAGTGTGAACCTTATATGGGGCAAATCCAGTTCTTGGACAGCAAATGGCAACAGAGGCAAAAGTTGCGAGAAGAGAAGATGTTGAATAATCAGACATCGATGGTTAAGGCATCGTACAAATGGGTGGGCTGGATGCTATCGTGGGTATGGATAGGCGTTTAAGAATGTAGTGCAAGGCTCGTCGCAGGGCAGCGAGACGTGATTATGGAACCTGAGGAACATGTAGCATCCGAACACGCTAACCAATTATCAACAAACAGAGCATTTTGGCACATTATTGGACAATGACGAGAGGGCGTACGACGTGCATACTGGATAGCAAGCGGTGGTGCGAAAGGATATTACGCGTCCAAGCAAGTGTTGATGCCGATAGTCGATAGCAGATATGCGACATGCACGTCCGTCTTCTTCCTCGACCCGCTGCACCAGGCAACAGAATCAATGAAAAAAAGATGCCACAGTGGCAGACCAGCAAAAATTGCCCCGCTGAAGCCCCCGAAGGAGATTCATGACAACACCACACCCCGCTGTGCAATGGAGGCGACGTTGTCAGACCACTGAATACTTGAGCTCAGTGCGTCGCAAGAAGGTAAGTATGAGGAATCAAGAAGGGGACGGGGGGCGGCCGGGTTATATACCCGCTGGCGACGCGCTAGCGCTATAATCACGTGCTCGCTTAGCTCAGGCAGCCGTGCCCAAAGCGCGACACCCGTGCGCACCTCTGCTGGTCAGAGCTTTTGGCAAGTTCTGTCACGACGATTTTTCTCTCTCTGCATTGCATGCCGCCATTCGTCTCTGTAGAGATGGGCGTGCTTGTGGCAAAGGTTAGTACTATACACTCTCTTCTTCTGCGCCCCATGTGCCTTGTATTCTGGCTCGTCATCTAGCCAATACAACCCTCTTCACATGATGATCCAAAACAACCTTAGAACCGTTGCGAATGACGCCTTTCGGGGCGGTTGACTTCACCACACCCTTTACTGAACCCTCTCAATCCTCGCCGTTGTCTCTGACGAATCAATGCGCACTGTGGCTAACAAGACTACAAGGAACCATGAGCAAACCAGCCTTCAACTTCCTGCGTCCCTACCTCCATGGAGCTAGTCGGTCTCTCAAGCCGCACCATGCTCAAGCCTACATCGCGCTCCAGAGACGCTTCGTGCAGAGCATAGCCGCAGACACATACACCGGCCCGCACGATGTAGAGAAGCAGAAGAGGCTCGACCACCTGGCAAAAGTAAAGCCGTTGGGTGACTACCATCCAAGACTGGTTTACTCGGCCGATACCCAGAACTTGTCGGTACGCGACTTTAATGCAAAGTATCATGACATATTAGAAACCACAAGTGATGTCGTGTCCGTGTTTGGTAGGATATGCCACCACCCGTGAGCAAAAACATTCCCGTTCTGACAGCGTCAGGAAGGGTACGCTCAGTGCGGCTGCTTAGCTCCAAGTTGATGTTTCTTGATATCGAGCGCGATACCCAGCGACTCCAAGTCATGGTGGAACTGAAAAAGCTCGCGCCGCAGGACGGTCTTGACGAAAGCTTCAAGAGCTTCAAAAAAGTTGCTAGAATCGGCGATTGGATTTGTACGTGATGTTGCCGTCTCTGCCTGGGGATGCATGCTAAGTTCTGGCAGCAATCACCGGCAATCCAACAAAGACCTCAACCGGGCAGCTTTCCATCCTTGCCCTCCAAGTGCCCCAGGTCCTTGCCCCTTGCCTCCATCACCTGCCCGAGAAGATTGAAGATGCCGAGACGCTCGCGCGACGGCCGCACATCCATGCCCTTACGAGCGACGACCCAGGTGACATTCTTCGTCTGCGAGCACTCATATATGACTATGTCCGTACCTACTTTATCGAGAGCGGCTTCATGGAGGTCGAGACACCCATATTCGACGTCAACGCTGGGGGCGCCATTGCCCGTCCCTTTGAAACTGTAGCCAATGAGCTCTCCAACGTGCCAATTCGACTGCGGATAGCGCCAGAGCTAAATCTGAAGCGCCTCATCATTGGAGGGCAAGACAAGATTTTCGAAATCGGGCGCGTCTTCAGAAATGAGGGCGTGGATAATACACACAACCCCGAATTCTCCACGTGCGAATTCTACGAGGTTGGCGCCACATTGCCCATTGTCATTGCCCGGACAGAGCAGTTGATCCACGGTCTACACACCGCAATCGAATCACTGCGCTCAACGTATTTTCCCACATTGACATCCCCAGAAAGCGTGGACTTTTCACAACCCTTTGCACAACTCCCCTTTGTTCCTACAATTGAAGAAGCTAGTGGCCGCAAGCTGCCTGACCTCTCATCACCCGATGCCACGAACGAGGTGTTGCAGCTCTACAAAGAACTCGGCCTTGATGTCCCACCAAACCCAACATTACCGCGTCTACTTGACGGTCTAGCAGAAGCGTACATTGAGCCACTTTGCCAGAACCCCACGTTCATCACGCAGCACCCGGAAGCTCTTTCGCCGCTGTCCAAGTCGTATGTGGATGAAGCGACGGGCCAGCGTGTTGCTTCGCGCGTGGAGCTATTTATCCATGGACGCGAATACGTCAATGCATATGAAGAAGAAAACTCGCCGTTTGAACAGCGGAGGAAGTTTATGCAGCAGCTTGACTTCCAGGCCGATGGACACGGATCCATTGACGAGAGCTACCTTGAAGCGCTTGAGTGGGGGATGCCACCAACGGGAGGCTGGGGCTGTGGACTGGACAGGCTGGTCATGCTGTTTGCGAACAAGAAGCGCATTGCAGATGTGTTGCCTTTTGGGACGCTGAGGAATGTGGTTAGTATGTCCAAGATGAAGTGAGTGTGGGGATAGAAAGGAGAAGAAGAATAGATGCAATGACGTACCGAATGGCCCAATGACTGAAATTGAATGCAATTGTGTGACGATGAGTGTTGGGACTGGCTGATATAAAACTTTGTGGGCGTAAATGTGAGATTGAGCAGCCGCTTATGTTCACCAGTGCAATAGACCAAATACCAGCTCAATTATCCAAGGTACGTTTCCAATGTTTGTGGTAATAGCAATGTGCATTATAACTGGAGGGAATAAGACGGGACTTCAATCGCCAATACTTGACAATACCTCTTTATAAAGAGACGGGCGCTTGCATGTACACCACACGGCGTCTATGTATGTACCTCGCATAGTCCAACAGAGTCCACTCATTCTATTTTCCCCGAGGCAGACTTGCTCCATGATGCATTTGTTGGTAGTGTGAGACAACAAACATTTGTGTGTGTGTGTGTGTGTGTGTGTGTGTGTGTGTGGACATGTGTTAGTGTGATTAGGATAGGGCTGACGGGGCACAGCAAGCGGTCAAACTTGTTTTGCTTGGCTTTGCAGCGACTGGTGGGTTAGGGAAAAAAGAAGCATTTCCAAGGGTTAAGAGCCGTCTTCCTCGGAGGATTATCGCTGGAGACTGCGTGTCATGTGTGAAGCGGTGGGGGAGGGGGCGTGGCCGGTAGATTTAGTGTGGCGTGTTGGGTTGCGGTTGGGTGATTGGAGTTGGGCTGTTGGACTTTGTCCAATCGATTGGGGGTTGGTTAGGGACCTGGGATTAGTATAGTATGTAAGTACATGAGAAACGTGGTTGACTGTGCCTTGAAGAGCATGGTCTGTTGGTCGTTGGTGGCAGAGTATGGCATTTTGTTGGGTAGTTGGACATTTGATTGGGTACTAGCAAGCCTTTGTTGAAGGCTCTGGTATACTATGTCGTGGATGGGATGCCTTGGCTGCTAACCAGAACAATGGGCTCTGGCGTGGCAGTCACTAGAAGGGATCGCCGTCAGGCCATCGTCTATCGCGTCTTTTGACACATGAAGCCATCTAAACTTGGATGTATCCGGTACGGATTGGTGGTTAATGTGGATGTAGGCGTGAATGTGCCAAAGAGACAATGGCAATAAGCGCCGGATAGTGGGAGGGCGGGGCTGGCTCGGTTGGACGAGTGGTAGAGTAGACTATTCTGGAGTAAGTACACAGAGTCAGCGTCGTCAACAAGCAAGTGGGGCATCAGACGCATCGACGGCAGTCGCGTCTCGTGCCCCACGCATGGGCCATTGGTGCCTTTGACGTCGCCGACAATGGCACAGTTGGGCGGAATTGGGTTTGTCGACGGGCTCTGGGCTGGTCAGAGACGAGTCAATGTGGGCAGTACCATCTGTCTCGTGTTCATCATTTGGCGAGGCTGAAGCTGCTGGTCGAATAGAAAATTCCACTCCACGGCGCCTATTGACAGGCATGGTGCGCGGCTAATGTCAAACGCGGGAGCGGCGTAGGTCGCGTCATCAACAAGGGCTGCTGCATCGTACGCATGTGCGAATGCAGAGAAAAAAAAACTAAAAAAACCAGGCAACAAGGGAGCCTCGTCTCGGAGAGGAATATGGTACACAATGGCGTGGTGGTAATCCTGGTAGGCTAGGAAAGGGAAAAAAAGTTGGAAATGTCATGATAAAGTTGACATGGGCCAGCTGATTGGCCAGCCCTCAGGCATCCGAGCACATGGTAGCGGGAGAAAGCCGAACGCGTGTGCGTGTGTAAAAGGTGGAGATGAGCTAGTAGCGGGAGTGTGTGAGGGATGGTAGTGAATGCTACAGGTATCAGCATGGCATCGAGAAGAGGCTCTGGCCATGCCATGGGCTTGCGGGCGGCTGCGAGTGAGGAGGGCAATCACAAGCCGGCGAGATGGATTTGCTGCAAGGCGGCCACGTCGATGGCGATGGGGCCGGGACTGGAGACTGAGCACACACGGCCAGACGGGGGAGACGCTGCTGTGCCGCATCCTCACAGCAGTCTACATGCACATGATGGAGCGTTTTGAGAGAGGATGCATTAGCGTCTTACCCAGACCAGTCCTAGCCGTCTGCAGCGACGTTCGCTGATATGGGGATGCTGATGGTGGTAATAATGGTGGTGGTGGTAGTGGGGGTAATCATGATGATGATGATGATGATGATGGCTACGGAAAAAGGATTGCTACACGATGGAAGAGTAAGCCGAGCTGTCCCACGAGCCCAGAACTGCAACAAGCCGCAGGCGTTCACCCGCCAGGCCGGTGAGCCGGATCGACTGTATGGGATCCAGCGTCGTGTCTCTGGCACTCAGGAAGAGGGCGCAGCCTGTCGGCGGGCGCTTAAAGCTGCAGTTGATCCCTGGAGCCCAGCCCCCCACCGCCGACGGCCATTCGTCTGATGTGCCAAGTGGTGGTGAACGGCCAGCTGTAAGCGGGCCATGGGCCGCTGTCGAGGGCGTTCGCCTGCCTAGCTAATAACTCCTTCAGCTTGACGCCTGCCTCGACCGACTGAGCTCACAGTCTCCACCGAGGCAGAGTCGCTGTGTGTTGAAACCACCACCACCACCACCACTTCCCCTCCCACTCCCACTCCCACTTCCACTTCCAACCCCCCGCCGCCGCCGCTCCCCAGCACATTGAGCCTCTCCCGGCAGCTGGTCTGCTTTGATAAGCCTTGTTCCGTCTCTCTTTTTATCAAGACGCCCAACGTCTTCGCGCCGCGCATTGCCTTCTGATTCCTGACTCGCTGCTCAGCCTTGCCCTTGGTCAACCCACCACTGCCTAGCACCTCTGACTGCGGCGCTGACCCGGCGCAGCTCTGGCGCTCTCTCCTCATTGTCTCCCCCCTTAGAACAAAGAGCCGCCTGAGGCATGGCAACCGCGACACAGCTCATGCCGTCACCAAGTGGCCTTAAGTCCATGTCGGCCTTTAGTCCCTACACGGACTCGCCCAGTTCGCCGGGCACTTTTGCCCACGTCTTTTCAAATAGGTGCCCTCCCCCTCCCCACTCGGCGACCAATGCGACTTTCCCACTAACATGGACTCTCCAAGATCTTCAGGACATGCCTCTGAACACCTCCAGCCACCACCCAGTCCGTATCCGGCAACCGTAGACCCTTCCCCCGTCGACAGCAACGGCACTAGCCACACTGACCACACCGAGGTACGCGACATGACGGATGCAAATGACACGACGCGGGGCTGACCCCACCACAGATTGAGGACGATGCGCAGGAAAACACGCCTAGCGAGGACGGCATGAGCGACATACGGTCCCCGGTTACTGACGACATTGTGAGCCCGGCGAGCCAAGACGGTCACACAAAGGCATGTCACGCCCACCTTGAGAAACATGCGCTTCACACGCTAATACATCCAACAGCCCCAAACCCACAAGCTCAACACCACGGTCCGCCGCGCAGATTCCGACGATGCGCCTCCATCGGTCATCCATGCCCCGGACAGCTTCAAGCAATTTGTAAGGCCCCTCTTTGTTGTCTAGCTGCTGTTGCACAACATGGCTGACGTGTGAACCAGAGCCGGGTGGGCACTTCTGGCGCCTCGTCCAGCGCAAACATGTCGGATAACACCGTCGTTGTATCGCCGTCGACACCAGAAGCAAACATGCTGCCTGAACTGGACGATAAGGTTAGCTTACCGCTGGTCTTGATGGGCTCGGGCTGACTAACAGCACACAGGACTCGTCTTCATCCTCTGCATTCACCGCTCCAATTGATACCGCAGTCTCCAGCTCCATTGCTCCAGATCGTAGCACACCGCGTGCACAAACCCGGCAAGATTTCGAAGAAGACCTTAGACGACGCAGTGCTCGTAAAAGCTTGAACCTTGCTGGTAAGCGTGCAGATCCATTGTATTGGACGCTAACTGACATTCGTAGATATTGCAGAGTACGAAGACAACATTGCCACTGATTCTTCTTCGAGCTCTGTCATTGATCAAGACGATAGCCAATCTTCACAGTCACAGGATGGCGAATCAGCTTCAATTGGCACCCAGACCATGGGAGAGGCAATCATTGGAATTCACGAGACAGAGAAAGAAGTAGCCGGTCTTCGAAGCGCTCTGGACGAATGCTGGATACTGTGCAACTCTCTGGCAAAATTGAGCCAACGTCATCGAACGCGCATGTTCCATTACTCTGGCGGAAGCGCTGATACGCAGGAGCATGCTTGGAGGACTTGTTGGCGATTATGCCAGAAACTCTACGAGAGCCGAGAAGAGAACCCGTCAGCACAGATTCAGCCAACTTTGGAGCTTTGCCGCGACTTTTGTCAAGCACTGTTTGACGTGCGCCAACGCGGCGACGAGTCGGCGGACTCGGTTCTCCGAGTCAGCTTTGAGCTCAACAACCATCTCTACAATGCTCACGACCGCACATTGCCCGAGACTTTCCGTGAACGTACGCTCGACTTTTACTTGACCCTCTGCCATCGCCTTATGAAACAACGAACTTCGCTTCCCGAGGAGACAGATTCACTCTTGCATGCTTGCTGGTCGCTCGCAGAAATGCTGTTTAGTCTCCGTCAAAACAGCCGAGACGGTAAACCCCCTGATGAGGAGTTGCTTGGGTCGGCCATCCAGGCCTGCTGGGAGTTGTGTGATTTGTTCCGTGAGGGATGGACACAAGTGCGACCTGATCGCAGCACCCCACGACCGTCACAGCACAGCTTTTCAGTAGGACGCAGTTCTATGTCACACCGATCCCAGAGCGCATACTCCGAACGGTCTGCGAGGTCTTCGAGCGTCAATGAATCATACCACTCGGCCATACAAACCAGGAGAGCAACCCCAATGCAGCCAGAGACTCCGACTACCATTTTCGACGACCGTGAAGAGTTTTCTCCCTCAGACGAGCCCAACGTTCCAAACATCCTTGTTCTCGGCCCAGAGGCCGGCCTGACACGAACCCACGATCGCTGGTCTTCTTCTTCTTCTAATCTCTCAACATACTCCGATGCTTCGGTACACACGTCTTCTACTGCCACTGCTGGCCGAGAAGACCCTGCTCTGATACGCCTGAAAGGGCTCATTGTTAAAGCAGCCATCAACACTGGCTATAATCGCCAAATACCACTCCCAGACTTCATTCGCGCACTACCGTCAAACAGCTTCGGAAACGAACCATGGCAAACTGAATTGTTCGACAACTATCGGAAGCTTGTTCTCAAAGACTCGGCTCTACGCAGCATTCACACGCAACCACTTCGCCGACTGACAGCACTTGAGATTGGACGGTCTGTGCAATGGCTAGGTAAAAACGAATCTTTCAAGTGGCTCACAGAGCTATATCGATTCGTCTTCGGAGCCTATCCTGAGGACAGTAGTCAACGCAACCTCATCATCAACGCTTAACAATGGACCACTTTGCGTCACATACGGCCTTTATGTTTTTCTATTTTCTTCGACCATAGGCGCTATTTGGACAGGCTGCCTTATTCGATTTTTCGCCATATACCCTCAACGCTCTTTCCTGCATGCGCATCTATCGGTCCCAGCATGCTGTCATGATGCTGTAGATTACGGATTCGCATCTTCTCTTCTGTGTATACCTTGACAAGCAGCTGTCTTTGTTCTTGCTCTTCAGGCTTTCCTTTAGGTATATGACATTTATGCTATAGTTATAATAAATACAACGCTCTTGTTTCGTTGTATGCATTGCCTCCAATTGACGTCTATGTATGCAACATGTTGTGGTTGTTTGGCGCTGGGTGACTTGCAAGTAAGTCTTTTCGAGCTACCGTAAATTATCAACATGCTTCATGAGTCTTTATAATCCTGCCGTAAGGTATGCCATGTCCAGCGAATGGTGGGCGCAGTATTGCCAGAAAAACGAAATGTCTTGGCATGGACATTGATCCATGAAGCACAGACCGCCGAACCACTGCCAGCTTGTCGCAAACTCCCCGCATCGCGACTCTGCAACCTTAGACTCAGTATGTAGTTCCCAGTACCATCAGGTAGCGTAGCCTAAACCCTGCAATGCCGACGCGCGCAATAAAAGCCATTTTCTATACGCGCTTCCACCATGAAAAGGGTACGCATCTCTGGAAGCCGTTTGAGGACCTACGCTAACTCCGCTCCAAGGGAACCGCGTACTCCACCAAGTCCCTCCGGGAGCCATAATACCCTCTACCCTACCCTCCGCCTTGACTACACCACTGTTTCCCTTCTCCTCTGTCACCCAGTATCTCATACCCACACAGCAGTTCTGCGACCGCCTGCTCACCTTTTGCGTAAATCACCACCGCGTTATTGGCTATCCAGTCTGCATACGAGAAGGTAAATACAGTAGGAATGAATTCATCTTCAACTTTGCTATTGTGATTGGCGAGAACGAACGCGACTGGGCGTGCTATGGGGAAGTGGCGCGAAAGCTGGGACGGCTGCTAAGGGGATTGGAAGAACAAGGTGGATTTCTGAGCAAAGAAGAGGTTGGCGTCTGGGACGATGATGGAGGTACTATCGACGCAGGCCTAGACAATGGTGTTTATGGATTTGGAGTAGGTGGTGGAAGCAAAGTGTATGCGCTGTGTGAAATGGTGCTGGAGGATCTGAATAACTATGCCGAATGCATGATACCAATTGGTAGGTTTTTTGTGCTCATGAAGAACAATGTGTTGATCAAGTGCTAGACGACTCCAACACGATCAACCTGAAGTTATTTCCTACACGGCCCCCTCCACCACCCATCCTCGCCCACCAAGTCCCATTGCTCACAATCTCCCTATCAAGTCTACAACAACCCGTATCATCAGATCTTACACTAAACCGGATCCTCCCATATATCAACGGCATCAACTCGATAGCGCACATTGCACAACTTGCAGATACCGATCTCTCGTTGACACGGAAAGCGATCCAGCATTTGGTATATTATGGATGTCTGGTATTGTTGGATATTTTCAGTTTTGGGGCAATCTATGCACCGACAGCAGAGATCGGTGGTTTCATTGTAGATGCAGAGGTAAAGGACGAATGTATGCGCTATGTCAGGGTGCCGAGGATGAAGCTGGGCCCTAACGCGAAATCCGTCTGGATGGATAGCGAGTCTACAGATCTGAGCCAAGACGGGCGCAGTTCCATCTCTTCTTCTTCTGCATCACAGCTCAGCGAAGCGGTAGGGTCTACGCTCAAGATTTCGGAATTCGATGCCCAAATTGCAGCACAGAAGAAAGAAGAGGAAGAGGAAAAAGCCATACAGACCAGCCATGAGACCCTGATTACACTATACACTTCACTGCGCCAGGGCTTAACGCTAAAGAACTGGGTACTGGAGAATCTGGACCTCCTCTCTGGCATCGACGTGCGCCGTCTCATCACCTTTGGCGTCATCAAAGGCTTCCTCTACCGCGTACACAAATACGCAATCGCGACATCGTCTACTCTCCCACCCGCACCCCCGACCAGCCTACAAACAAGCACAGCCACTTCTCTCGCCAACCTCCGCGACTCGGACACCACCACCATCCGCGGCACCGACCGCATCCACTATGCTTCTCAGCCTAGTATCCACCACCATCATCACCCGTCCTTCTCCATCCACAAACCCAGCATCGCATCCATCACGCCTCAGCACCTCCAACAGCAACAACAATCGAGTCCGCACCACCTTGGCGCGCCCAAAACCGATGACGCTCACCATCAGCTTCTGCATAATAGCGGGATCATTGATGAGCGCGACACGAGCGGCCTGCCTTTACTCAAGTTCCTGGATGGCATGCATTGCTTTGATGAGATTTGTACCGACTTGGGACTTGCGGAGCGTGTGGTCGAGGGCAAGATAAGGGGAATGGGTGATGGGGCGGGTGTTGTGGTACATAGGTAGTGTTGGTATGATTATCATGTTCGATGTACAGGGAATTGGATAGTTCGTGTCTTGTTTGGATGCATGTTAGTAAGGTTGTTGTTTACTCTGTGAGAAGCGCCGTTGATGGGTAGTAAGCGTGGGACTAGTAGCCAGACGGGTGACCACTGCGATATCCCTGTTGTTATATGTTTTTGATGTGTTTTTCCCCCTTTCCTTATGTTGATCTCTGTGTCAAAGGACGTGAGTGAAGAAGTGACGAAAAGAGTGGGATTTATAATACTCGATGGCAATAGGTGACCATACCTACCTATCCCAGCGAAATATCGGGCTTTCAAACGCCGCATCCGGATCCGACCCTTCCTGTGGTGTAGATAATGCCTTGTTGGTGGGACAGTAGTCTACCATGATACACTGCCATATATATTGCCATTCAAAAGTTGCTTCTAGAGTGTGGAGTTTGCTATGTGACGTCGACAATCGTTTCATGTGCTCATCGCTGGCCATGCGCGAGACACCCATTTCACAAGGACTTCTAGCAATTACATGGTACCCTGCTTGCACATACTCACTTCACGATGCGTTTGCTCCAATTTCTCCGTCGCTTCAATGTGCTTATCGAGCAATGGACAGCCCATTCGCCAAAGCTAATATTCGTTGTCCTTCTGATCGGATTCTTGAAGCTTGCAGAAAATGTGCAAAGGGCACCAACTACTCGGTTATTGGAGAGTGTCGTCTTTTCTCAGTACTATTTTGATGACCCAGACGTTGACGACATCGAGGAGAGCATGTTTAAGATGCCTATCATTCAGTCCAAACTCGCGCATCTACGAGGTTTTCTCAATCTGTTCGATACAGTGCCAGGTACTTCATCCATCCCTATCTGCCTTTTCAATGCACACACATTGTAATTATCCTTTTCGGATCCTTCTATGGCTCTCTAGCTGATCGCAAAGGTCGGAGAGGCCCTTTCGCGCTGGCTGCATCTGGTATCGTTTGCCAAATGGCCTGCATCTACCTTGTTTGTTCGATTCTTCCGTCTCCACCAATGCTACGCAAATAACTTTTGATATTGGCAGTTTGTAGGACAGGATAATACTTGTGACAATACGGACTTCATCTACATTTCGCCTAATTGGAGGCGGCCCTAACCTTGCCATTACTCCTTACCATACCATGGCTTCTGATCTTTCAACATGTGAGACAAGGTATCTGGATTATTGCAGCATTTATCCAAAGTCTTACTCATATCACTTACAGGAGTGGATCTTTCTATCATGTCTTCACAGCTTCGCTGATCACAAATATGATTGCCCCTTCGACCGCATGCGCTACTTTCCACATTCCTTGTGGCTGCCTATTCCCGCATACTTGATATCGTTGTTTTTCACTTTTCTAGTCTTACTGTGAATGCCAGAAACACAAACCCATATGAGGGGTTCTCAGTCCAACGAGGAAGTGCCCGTCGGGCGCACCGCATTGAGTGCATTTATCAAATTCTTGAGCGACGAGAAAATTGTTATAGGAGTTGCCATAGTCTTTCTATTACAGTCCCAGGAAATATATTAGAGATATTCATTCTGAGTACCACTAGGTGACTTGAGGAACTAGTGAAAAAGATAAGATGAATGTATTTTGTCATGGGAATGATGCAGCTAACAACCGTTGTTTTGAGTTAAAATGGGTTAAAGCATAGGTAAACGGTAAATTTTAATACTGCGCCAACAATATTCTGAGCTTTTTGAGGACAGAGGCAAAACATGTTGACAGTAGCCTCATGGGGCAACGTAGGAGTAGGGGACTGGTTAGGGAATATTGCATAGCTATGCCAGACTAAGCAAGTATTGCCCAAGATTGGACAGAAGATGTAAAAATGCGATGTACCTGATAAAGAGAAGAGGTGTTGAGCTTCGTCGGGAAAGAGAGATTGAGTAGTTCAAAATGATGTTCATGGTGCTCGAGACGCATGTGGAATGAAGCTCGCGTCCAGCGCCTCAGTTTCTATATTTGGTGTTGACGATCACAACCCACCTAGCCACACAGGGCTCTTTGTTCTTCTGGTAGCACCACAGATTGAATCTGCTGTTCTAAAGCCTCTGATAATTAGGCTACATTGTTCAGTGCAAGCTCAGGGAGCTTTGAGGCCCGCTTCGTCTCCTACAAAGTCATCGAGTTCGTTCCTTATTTGATTCGTGCTCCTATCAGTGGCTTGATACCTAGGATAAGGCTTCAAAGCAACGACTTTTGTAGTCTAATAAGCTTTATGAGCGGCCAATGTCCACAGGTATCGGATAGATATGTATCGTTTCCTTCTAGAAAACCAATATCTTAGCGAGACTGATGCTGGATTTCTGGAAAATTTCTGGAAAATGAACAGCTAGCTAAAGGATGTTAGCACTCATGAGTGACCATATGAGAGTAGTGGGAGTGCTCAAAGTGTTGATCAGATATGTGCTCATTTTTTTGTAGGATAATGCAAGTGGCATGTTGTATCCAGTGGCTCTATGTTCTCGAAGGATGTATTATAGTTGCCAGTGTTGATGACACGAACGAGCTTGGCAGTCGAGGCACAGACACATGGCATTGCCCAAGCGGCTGAAAAATGCATAAGAACATGCATCGGAGATCCTGATAGGACCGTCGGCCAAATTTCTACCTGTAAGACTTTTGTGGCTGATTTTGCTCTGGGAGCCACTCTTCTAATTATGGTACAGTGCTTATTGCGGCGTATAGCGATTGTAGTTTAGTGGAAAAGGTGGACACATTGTTACATTTGTTTCTCAGTATGTTGCATCCATGCCGAAGATGTTCGGCCCCACCTAACGTCTCGAGGGTCTTTCCCATGAGAGTGCTTGGACAATTGATCTTTGGAGCAAAACAAGAGCGGCCCTTCTGCGAAGCGCATGGGATGTGGAAGTAGTGAAAGCCTTTTTTCATAATATCATTTCTCATAAACAAGCTAGTTGAGCGCTAAGTAAACTCACGTATCACATCAGGTAGAAGAGACATCACTTTACCTTGCAATCGCTAGGTGTGAATAACAGGTACATGTTGTCAAGACTGGTCCAAGTTGGAACTGAAGTCCGAGAAAGTCTTCGTAAATCCTACTGTATGTCACCTCTGATGTAACCGAAAGACGGAAAGTATCTGCAGGGTAATTTAGATGCAGATTATGCCATGCATTCTTACAATAGCCCACGTGCAGGCAAAGTGCACTCAGCCACAAGCGATATGAGGGTTCGAGCTGCTCAACTGTGTGTTGAAAGGCATCTTTTTTAGCATGTCTTCTGGAGGCGGTGACGAGTGCAGCAGCTGTACTGTTCGGCGAAGTAAAGAATACTATACTCATTTGGTTGGATCCCCCTAACCCAATGACCCACTCGCTGCTCGTTACCATTGGGCGGAATATGCATGGCCAAACACTCAAAATCCCCCCGCACATCGAACGGCGAGCAATGCACAATTGCGCAGCATTGCATCATCTTCACTATGCAATCCAGAGGGTCATCAGGTGCAAGTCAAAACTACTCTATCTCAAATAAATATCACAAAAGACAATTGAAGTTATTTTGTATGAGTAATGCCAAATTCGTTGACCGCTCAGTGGCGAATATCGTCGTGGCAGAGGAGCTTACGGGGTAATCTTATCAGGCCGCATCCTCTGCGGCTGAGCGACTGGAGTTTTGCACGTGAGAGCTTCTCCGCTCGTTTCGCTTCGCTCCGAGCGGTCTAGAACATAGGCGATGCAACGGTCGCAATAACCCTATGTTTCATTTTTTTGCAATATGTCATGCATCGGCCATTAATTGCTCCATAGGTGCGCGTTGGCGGATCCGATTCTGGTTGAATATAGGGCTGACCGCATTTGCCAAGGACAAAGCTGAAGAGTCGGCGAAATTTTAGTATATCTGTTGGTATAGATCATTTCCTCTAAATGACCCAGGTGTGTCTGGTGCAAGAAAGTAACAAAGCATCAAAGCCTTCTATTTCGAAAACGAATCACACTATGGACTTCTCGAGCTTGCACGGAGGCCCTCGCAACGCCTATACACATTACTCCCCTGACAGCGAGTCTTACCTTTCGCACAGAGAGCCAGACCTGTACTTTGCAGACTCTTACACATATGCCTCTGATTACTTCAGGGACTCCTTTTTCGATGACAACCCACACTCCTATTCGATGACGAAACCGCTGGACGTAATCGGCCCTTGGGACAGTCCATCACCTAGCACATTCCCTGGTACAAATTCAATAACCAACTCCGCATTCGCAGTGAGCGATAGGCATCTGAAGACATGGCCAAACTTCAACTCTGGGGATCTAGCATACGGAAAACATGCTCACGATGCTGAAATAATGGAAACTCATCACACCGCCGACTCGATACACACCTGCAGTAGCAGTCCCTCATCTCCAGCCATCTCACCCCAAATAGCAACGAAATCACGTCTTCCGTCACCTTCGACCTGTTCTCGAACCTTTATACACGTCAAGTCCGAGCCTACAAGACGCAAGCGAGGCCGCCCCCGGCTCCCACCAGCAGCCTCCAAGGTCCCAGCAAGCATCGTTTCAAAAAAGGTCGAGCGGCCGCAATGCATACCACATACAGAAGTCGAACGCAAGTATAGGGAGAAGCTTAACACGGAGTTGGAGCGGCTACGTCGAGCTGTTCCGTCCTTGCTTCGAGCCGATTCGGATAATGTCATGGGCGGTGCGAGGATAAGCAAAAGCGCAGTGCTGGCAGTGGCAATCGATTACATCAAGGACTTGGAGGCGCAGAGGGATAGTGCTCTGGATGAAGTTAAAAGACTCGGTGGGGAGGTGCGGTTTGGGAATAGGTAATGAGGTTCATTGCAGTATTGTTTTGTTTAGAAAAAAGTGTCTCAATCTCGTTTTGGGTTACTGGGTTCAGTCTCGTGACGATTATTATAGCCGCTGAGTGTGTATGCTTGTCTGTTGTATTTGTTGGATAATATTCAAATACAGCCCTGGTCTTACTATGTTAAGTGTAAATTCCGTATCAATGCATCAAATCATTGTCAGGTAATGAGAGCATTCCCATATCTACAGATGATCCGCTCTCAAATCTAGCTATACTTTCCTCTATGCGAACTTTCTTACAAACACAATTAAGTATCTTAAGCTTTTCGTGGTAGTACGTATGTAAGAGCAGCGTCGCTGGCGAAAAACATGATTGCGATTATTTCCTGAAGTGTCTAGGGAGTGAGGTAGTGCTACGCAATCTTAGTAGCTCAGGTTCCTAAGCTCATTTACTATGAAGCTGCTGTTACACCAGAATATGTGTTTGAATAATCTCCAATTAGCGTTGCTATCATTTCCTCCAAATCCATCAAGGTACTACAGGTATGCGTTAATCTGTAGCCTTTAGTACATCGCAAACACAAACCATTTTAGTAATTGATAGTAGATAGAAGAAATCCTTAGTTGAGGGAGAGTTAGAGAAGCAAAACAAAACAAACGAGGGCCCATAGAAATCTATGCTAAGGAGAGGAGAAGGAAAGACGAATAAGAGAAATGTTGCTTTCAATGGGCACTTCTCGTTTTCCACGTCAGTGATAGAAAATCTACTCTCTATCCTTTGAGCAGAAATCAACCCTAGTAATATAAAGAAGAGGAGTTCTCCGTTGGGCTGAGTAGTTCCGTGGTGGCTTGTCTGGTAAATTTAGTAACATAAGTCGCTTCTACTCTTGTTTCACTCCTATCTCTAGTGCACAGAACTATTCGGTCTCAACTATAAGATAAAAAACAGAGGTTAATTCTAGAGGACCATCTTTGATTAGCTGGTTTGTACCTTGGATAGTTCGAAGGTTGCATAATAGAAACAAACGCGGGTAGACACGATTTTGTATATAGCATTCAGACGAAACTAAATTTCTAGAAGGATCCTTAAGAGATTTTTGAATTCCGGGCTAGTGTTTAGTTCCTGGCGTTTGTTTTCTATGAGTGAAGATGGATCTTATTTAAATTACTAACCATTTCGCAGCCTCCCGCCCTAACAGTCGGGGTCTAGGCCCGCCATACCATGTGCTGCTTAACGGACTGTTCTATTTTAACTTAGAGCTCTCGTTAGTATCTTCATACAACTTACTTTAAATTCCATATAGTTAAGGAACAGAAGCAATCTAGTAATGTAGTGGAATACGGGCTTCCCGTATGATTGCATAAGTGTTGTGAATACGAGACTTTATTTAGAGCCAAGGAGTTATCCAGTGCATTTCTAATGTCAAAATGACACTATAAGCAACTATCGGCCTCGATTTGCATTTTGTCATAAGGAGCCGTGTCCCGTGCGAACCCCTAGACCATCTCATAGGAAAATCCCTGAAAAGATTGTGCCAACTTCCAACAAAGACCGTGGATACAAACTGGTGTTCCCTAACGCCTCGAGAGACGTTAGTCTCATTTTCGGCTGAGAAATTTCGCCGGTGATGCAGTCGGCCAATGAGCATTGTTAAGCAAAGTTGATTTTCCTACTTCAGGACCGTAAAAGATTAGCATAGAAGCCATGTTAGCCGAGTTCTAATTTGCATGCATTTATAGTGAATTGTAGAATACTACACGATAGATTAAGGAGCAGTAGCGTTACTTATTCCCTATAATATTAATTTGATAAATTCATCGCATCTGAGTACGTAGGAATACATTGTACGCAAGCCTTTAGCAGACAATGAGTCTCTTGTTAAAGATCATGTTACTAGTAGCGGAAATGGATGAAAGGGAGAGATTAGTGATAGTATGTATATAAGAACTAGCTTTGAAGGAAATCGAGTCTAGCTGATGTGGACTGGCGCAAATCGCGCAATGGTAGTTTTCCGCCTTTAGGTATAATAACACGTGACTGAAAGAATAGGTTAGGGAAAGTAGCCTCCCGGATACAAGTACCGATCTCAATGTTCACATTATTCAACAGTGTGCTCTGCGGCCAATCTCGGTAGGGTCCCACGTGAATGAATCGTCTCACTCAGTCCCAATGGTCTTTCATCCAGAAGTCTGCCATCGTTTACTTCATCTACTCTCTTGAAGGTATCATGAACTAATCCTCTCCGGGGATCCTCTTGATTTCCGTTGCGCGCGCTTTTCTTGCGACCAAAGGGCGGCGAGGGAAATGTAATACCGCCAGTTTCTAGTGTGGAAGAAGCAGCAGCAGCCGCCGGCTGTGGCGGCGGGGGTAGTCCTTGGCGTGGCAACTCGAGAGACTTACTCTCTTCTGATTCTTGTGCACCTAAACGGTGAATGACCGGTCTCTGACTTGTCTCACTTAGAGTTTTCGTGTTCTTTCTTCGCCTGCGTATGTACCAGGCCAGGGTGACGAGAAAGAGGGTGCCAATCACGGATCCTACAACCGCTCCTGCTAGAGCTGCTGTTTGTGATGACTGCTTGGTACCGGGGAGTACGCGACATACTCGCTTTACCTTGGCATCCGTGCCCATGGGATCGGCCGCTGCAACGACAGCTGGTGCGAGTTCGTAGTTCGCAGCATCGGGATCGACAATGAGGTAGTTCTGGGTGAAGAAAGGAAATCCCAGAACTCCTACAGTCACAGATTCTGTTTGATTTGTTACAGCCATGTTGAATACTGTTGCGTTGTTCACTTCGAACACTCCCGCGGAATTGTATGCTCGGGGTCGGTAGTAAAGCTCGGATGCTGGAATTACAGTCTTGTATGAAGCGACCGAAGGCTTCGATGCATCGCCGGCGGGACTGCCCATGTCGGATACCGTAATGGTAATTGTGCCTGCAGGGGCAGGACTAGTAGGGAGCTCGAAATGACGTGATGTCTCGTTCCAAACAGCCGTCTTTTCAGCAGCTGCGAGTTTGTCCAACATTGCTTGTGGGAATCTGATATCGGAGGAGAAGGGATCGAGGTATACAGTAAGTGTATCCTTGGCGTCTTCGAAAAGCGTGGTACTGGTACCACCGACGTCGTAAGTGATTGCAGTGAGTACAGCGCATGTAGGGCAATCTGAAAACATAGGAAATTTGGTTGCAGGGCTTTTGAGTCGACTTTCGTCATACCCGCCAACTATCAGCAAGCCGGGCTGTGGCGCGTCTTCTGATTCTGAGCCAGCCCACAACCCGTACGTCCGTGACGAAGCCTGACCTGAATCGACAAGGAAGTTCAAAAAGCTGGAATCCATTCCCAAAGGCAGAGTTGCTCGGAACCCTGGATCATACTCTGTGAAAGAATCCACGGTTGCTCATGTATGTTAGTGTTGTACCCGTTGAGCATCTCTACCTGGATTACTCACTGTCTGTGGAACTGTTGGTATACATAGGGAAGGCGGGGAACTTATTGGTGGCGTTCTTTGGGCCAAAGGCTGCAGCATCGGTAAAGAAGATGTGCGAATTTCCGGATGCCATGTTTACGGACTCTCTGCTCCCTGGCCACGCTGCGTAGTCGACCTGGGTAAACGAAGTTGAGGCTGCACTATCGTAGATGCCGCCTAGTTGGCCAATGCAACTGCTGTTCGTGGCCGATCCACACTCTGTTACGCTGTTGACGAAAGCATTGTCCAAAGTTGTCGAAGGGGTTAAAGAAAAGAGCTGAGGAGGAGTGCCAATGGCGAACGAGATGCCTTTGGAAAAGATTGCACCATCAGCGGAGACTGAATGGTTGGTCCACGGCAACAGCAATGGTACGGAACCATTTGGGCAAGCCATTTCCTCCAGTGATGCCCCCCAAGCGGGTGAAATTGGTCGTCGTCTACGCTGGCCGTGATAATGATGATGTTTGAAGTCGAGAATGGGTCGACTTGGCCAGCAGCATTATCATTGCTACGGATTTGTACAGGGATGCATCCAAAGAAGGAGTGATCTTCACAACTTGGGCATGGCGACCTGGACTCCTGGATCGGGCGTCGATGGCTGGGGCTTGATACCTCGGTGAGGCAGAAATTCCCATTGGACAGGACCAGCTGACTAGCGTCTCAGACTCTGTACCTGAACACCACACAAGGAAACAGCCCTTGTAGACTTGCGCAGATGGAGCAGGCTGCTGTTATCATCATCATCGTCATCATCGTCATCCGTAGCAGCAGCAGCAATGTCGAGGTTCGGTCCGCAATTCACCCATGCTCTTCTCTAGTTCCTGACGTCATAATCGTATGGAGGTAGGGCTGACTGGCCTGCCACAGCTTGCGGCTCGTACTCTGTACTTAGTTGGTGAGATCAATCTCTCAAGCATCGCACGTACGCACGTACGAATGCACCGGGCGGCAAAGTGCTGTGATGAGACGGGCCTTTTGTGGAGAGGGCAAAGTATCGAACATGTCAAGTCGGACCGTCTAAACGTCGCATCGACCCTGAGCCACGCGATGCATGGCCTGGGGGCCAATCAGCGGCCTCAACACGCCGCTAGCGCCACTCGGGGACAAACCTCGCTTGCCGCATCCTTCAAGCTGATCTCGGTTGCATTCTCCACCACCACCGCCCATCGTGTTTCCAGCCTCGCAGCCCAAACCGCTCCAGAACGCCTCTCGTTGGCTCGCGTACAAAGGATCGACCTGCGCAGCCCAAGTGCCGAAGGCGACTGCGCGCATAACGCCCTCGTTGCTACCTCTATTCGGCGAGGACTTGACAGCCAGCACGTCATTTTACTTCGCTCACGCTCAACTTACTCGACCTTCAGCGTACAAGGCCATGCTCTGCCGTGCTCAGGCGAAACAGATGGCTTGTTGCAAGGGTCAGTATGTGTCTGTCCAGCTCGTCAGCTCGTCAGCTTGCGCTTGTGCTTAAGATGTACTACACTGCATTGTGCCAACAGTGGCTGGTAACGAAGGTATCCAAGTACGTAGTAGATACATCCAAGATGTGGATAAGCACTGAAAGGTGAACACTGGGCTAGTTCTATTCGATACTTCTGCACTGACCCTGATAAATTTGTCCTTAGTATCAGGTTCGCCACAGGACCCTCACCAATGGCAGGGTCCAGATCGCAAGGGTTCAGGCATCAGGGTCCTTTCAGTCGTCCAAGTGTGGAGTACTAACTGCGCATCCAGTATCTACCATGTACACTCGTACCTACATAAAGATCTTCGCAAGGGCTGCATATGTAAGCGGCAATCTTTGGTTCCGGATACCAAAGCATGATTGACCCCCTTATCACCAGGTCCTATAATGTGAAGGTACAGGTGCAAGGACTTGCGAAACCTGCTCTACCGTCTACTTCTTCTTGCCCCAGTCAATCAAAGTTTTTCCCTCTTCAAGCTTGGTAACATAGCAATTCTGTTATTGCTTCGGTATCATGTACCCGCCTCGTATCATCAATTGCCGATCATTTCACACATATACCACTTCCCAGCTGATAGATGTACTTTTTCCGCACCCTCCCTATACCCGACATGATAATTCAGCTATCGGTTTATTACAAGAAATGAGCCAGTCGGTTTGCCTCTCCCTTGGGTGCAAAAGCCATCTAAATACGTGTACCCGGAGCGGTGTCGAAAGAAGACCCTGTGATCCAGGGAAAGGTGTTTGTAGGACTTTTACGAGTAGTTCAAAAAGTGTCAGGTAGCCCCTTGACTGTCAAGCTGACCGCGGTAGCCCCAGAGTCAAGGGGTAGGGACTCTACGTCACGAATACCAGGGGCAAGTTTGAGATGTGAAAACCAGGTGTATGATCTTATCAATGCGCCTTGGTTGGCATCTAACCAGGCATGGGTTCAGTCGAGAGATTCAATAATAGAACTAGCCTTACGTGTGATCACCCAAATCGTGAAGTTGTTGAACAGCGGGACGATCGTCATTTTCCGACTCACTAGTGTACTGTCGCAATACAGTCTGTGCAGACTTCTGCAGCAGATCACCACGTGCATTTCATCTTGCGATGCGGATTGATGTATTAAAAGCGCGCTACGTGTATGCGTATTTACATGCCATAAGTAGACGCTGCAAGAAAGACTACGTGGTCACGTTGTGGGGCGGAGTCTGCGCCCAACACAATAGCCTTCATGAAACACCACTAAAGCTGTAGCAGAACGATGTCGACCGTTCAAAGAATTGCAGATTCTCATTATTTGACCAATTCATGTAGAATTCAGCCGAGCCGCAACGACTGCGAGTGGAGGTGTGTAGAAATATCAAGCTATCAACTGTTTCGCATGATTGTTTGCATGCGAAGACGTGAAAGACGCACAAAAGCCGTCTCACAAACAACTACAAAGATGAGGACAAGGCTCTAGTAACGTAAGAATACAAGTATGTTTTCAATCAGCAAACTGATTTCTACGCATGCCTAAACCAAACGTTTCCACCGCATCCCTTCACTTCCGCTCCAGATTACATACCATCACCAGAAACCCCCGTCACATTCTCCTCGCCCAGATTATCTCCCATGTTCAACTCAGTGACCTCATTCTCTAATACATCTTGCTCTTCCTTCTCTAGATATGGCGGCGGCGCCAATTCCTCCCTCTCTCCATCTTCACCATTCTCATTCTCAACCCACACCCTATTCAACTCGGCCTCAATCTCCTCTCTCCTCTTCTTCCAACCCTCGACCTTAGCTAAGCGCTCCCTGAGCTCCGCTAGTTCCTTTTCTACGCTCGACTTCTCAGACTGTGTGCCAATACGCTGGAACTCCCATTCGTCGCCATGCTCCCCCATGCCGAGGGTGAGGGTGAAGGTGTGGTAACGCTTTAAGCTAGCGCGAGTAGATATAGTGATAAGAGCTAGATTGGAGAGTCAGTAAACCAGGTGGAAAGTTTTGGAAAGAAGAACAAGTCTGGTTAACTTACTGATTCCCTTTGCCTTTGCGCGTTCATACAGTAGACCCTCGACATCGCTGCTAACAGCACTTGTGCCCTCATCGATGAAGGCGTAGCGTGGTTCGTGATACAACAACCTAGCGAGACCCATGCGCTGCTTCTCTCCACCGCTGAAAACATCTTTCCACACCTTCTTGGTGTCCCAGCCGCCTTCGCGATCGGGCAAGTAGCCCAGCTTAGCTTCTTCTAGGATCTGGGAGAGCTCAAGGTCGCGGCGCCCAGCATCCTTCATGTCAGCGTCGGTGTGTGGGTAGATGACTTGGTCACGGAGCGTGCCAGTGGATAGATATGGCCGTTGAGGTAAGAACATGATGCCGTCTACGCCAATAGTGCGTGGGCGGCTGACGAGGCCCCGATATGCAGGCCATAGGCCGGCGACGATACGCGCGACAGCACTCTTACCGCAACCATTGGGGCCAGTGATGAGAAGATGTTCGCCAGAGTGCACAATGAAAGAAAGCGATTCGAGTAACTCTTCACCTCCTCTTGGATGCAAAGCTGGCGCAACAATGGGCACGTGTTCAAGGCGAATGCCATCAAAGCCTTTGTGTACCGTGCCTTGGATGTCAGAGACTGAGTAAAGCTCTGGGCGTGTGCCTGGAAGGGGGTAGTATGCGTCAGCGTGGACGCGATGAAGCGTGCTAATAAGTGTGTAAACGCGCGAGGTATAACCTGCGAGTTCGGACAAATCCTTGATGCTGTACATCATTCGGCCACCAGCGTCTGCGAGTGACAACATAAGTCGCTTGTTCGTGATAAAATCCTTCATGCGACTTCGCTCGCGTTCTGTACGCTCGCTCCCCGGGACCTCTGGCGCACTACCCAGGCCGCCCCAGGCTGGCAAGAAGACTGGGAGAGATGTGATTAGGTACCCAAACGCCGACCAAGAATATTTCAACACAAAATCTTCAAGCATATTGTATCTGATCTTCAGGCTGTAGATGCCCTCCATCCAGTGCTTGAGGTCCTTGAAGCCACGCTCGAGAAAATGCTTTTCCATTTCGTCACCGCCATAGAAGGCGACTTCCTCTGCATTTGCAATGAGTCTCGAATGGAGAGCCCGGAACTCGCCTTCTCTTCGTCCTTCTACTGCTTTGAGTTTACCAAAGGGTGGTGAGAGTTTTCTCAAAACCGTCGCTGTCAAGAAGTAGTTGCTGAGCAGCCCCGTCAAGGCTAATGGCCCCAGAGACTTGTAGAGTTGATAATTGAAGACACAAAGATCAACAAACGGCTTGCCCAGGCTGGAATACAGTGATGCAGCACTGGCACAGAACAAGGTCAAATCTTGCGTAATGTACTGATCGGCGAGTCCTACGCCTCCATCCAGATTTTGTAGCTTGTAGTAGTTGAGATGGTCGTTCAGATAAAGATCGTGAATATATCGCGTCAGCCGGGTGCGGAAAGCAATGGACACCTTGCTCTGCAGGAACTTTATCATGGCGTTGGTGTAAGATGAAAAGGTCCCAACGCCTAGCCACTTGATAATGCCCCAAAGAAATGCCTTGCCGTTGCCTGCAACAAGATCTCGCACGATCTCGCCATCGAGCCGGGCTACAACCAAGGAAAGGTACGTCCGTAGCATGAGGAACACGCTATGGCTGACTAATAGACCCGTCTCCTTGCTATTCCACCTTGGTATCATGATATTCAGCAAGCTGAGGAACTGATGCAGAAACGCGAGGTTCAGGCCAGGCTTGGTCTGTGGAGGCGGTGCTTGTGGGTCGTTTGGATGTGTGTCGGCCATGCGCGCTGCGCGTGGAGGTTGAAGAAAGAGCCTGCGATGGGCATCAAAGGTTGTCTGCTTAGTGGGATGTATGACGACTTTGGATGTAGAGTCGCGATTGGGCACGTAGATTGTCCTGGAGCCATCTTTGTTCTTCAGCCCCGAATTGCGCCTCAAAAGCCGCCGGCCTGTCTCCTTTTCTGCGCGTCGGCTTTTGTATAGTCGCTGGCCTCCATAGCCAGTGCCTATGATGGTGAAGAGGAGGGTGATAGTGGACAATAGCTTGGTAAGCTTGGATGCACCCCGGACGCGAGACTTGAGAAGAGTGGCATAGTGGTCGTAGAGGGCTAAGAGCGGGTCATGAGGTTTCCGTAAAGTAGATTGTGCGGCCATGGTTGGCCGTGAACATCCTTTCCAGGACGATTTGCACTTCGTGGAGTGGGAAGATCGCGTCGGGTGGTTGAAGGTGGTGTACCTTGCATGTGCGTGCCATGACGCCTGCTGTGTTTGAGCCGAGGCATGTGAACGTGCCACGTGCGCTGGGGAAATCCGGGGTGGTGGGGCGACATCCAATCGTCCAGCGGCTTGATCACAATTGAGCTGTGCAGTTACGAAGCGATGTATTGTAACAGTACAGCGGCGAAAAGATAGCTTTAATTGAGCAACGAAGGAAGCCTAATATCATCAATGTCTTCGTCCACCTTAATATCCAAACTATCTTCAAGATTAAGAGCAGACAACGACGCATGTCGTAAATCGACCCTTAGAGTCCAGTAGTTCAGAAGAAGACTTTACTGACCATATACTGAGTCAAGCTCTGTGATCGGGTTCAAAAATAGATCACACTCTAAAACTACTATATTGCACTGAATAAAGGAAGTGTTGGTTACCAGGATTAATCACCGAGATTTTGAGTTTTGTCCAACCACTGTGCCTTGAGTATAATCGATAATCACAAGAAGTTTACATGGCCTTGGTGAGCAAAATGAAATATTGATTTTGTTCGGGACCTTTTGTGAGAATGGAAAGATGATACCAGGACTGACATTCCATATCCTCTGGCTTCTACCCAACTCATTTTCTGCTACCGAGATTGTCCAAGTCGTAATTAGGGTTCTTGGCTCCAGCGCCAGCAACATGATGATTGGTGCTTACATATAGCCAAGCCGTCTTGTGTGAGATGGTAAGGCTCCAGCTTGATGCTGTGCAGTCAGACATCTCTCAAGCTCAGAATCAATCGCACTACGTCTTCTTGCATGGTTGTAAGCCTCTTCATATCTCAAATCCCGAGCATAGTCCATGAATTGATGGACGCGCGTATTAATGCGTTAGATCCAGCCCCGCGTTCCCATCGGTAAATACATAGCTGTCTTCATGTAGAGCTCAACTCTAGGAGAGAAACAAATGTAGAATCAAACCACAGACGAAGTTGAAGATGATTAAAGATAGATTTTAGCACATACACCAGTAAACTATAGGTAGAAAATTTTCAGGGGCCTGACTTGAATAGAATTTTGAATAAAAGAACAAGAGGGTGTGGCCTATTATGATCAAGAAGACGAAATCATGATTGCTTACTTGCGCCAAATCTCATCAAAGCATAAGCAAAAGTTACTTATTCCCCCAAATTCGACATATAAGGATCTTGAATCATTGCCCTCTGGAACTTGTATATGCTTATCGAAAACGAGGCTGACTGACGCTTATTAAAGAGCATGATACAGTCGAACATACAAGTCACTCTCTAGTTCGTCGATTATGGGATTCGTCCAGCCTTGAATATATCTTGGTTGAAAATTAGAGTGTTATGCCCGAGTTCGTAGGCGTCCTCATGATGCTCACTATGACTACCAAGATAGGTATTAAGGTTACTGCATTGTATAGTACATTTGTGCCTTGCAACTACAGATTCAACAGGCAACGTAGCTTTACGTCTTACACAGTGCACTTTTCAATACAAGATGGCGAGACTGTTACATCAGCTATTGTTTCAAATATCTGACATTTGTCAATTAAAGTTGACTGAGAAAGGATTGTCACTCACTCAGAAAGACGCCGCCCCCTGTGTCGACCTGAATTCTGTACGCTACTAAAATGCTCTGTTTGAGCGCGCTCAACCTATCGCGCCATTGTGTGCCGTGATCTAATTTTTTGCGTGGTATTAGATGGGTTGCCGTATGTATTTCAAGCTCTAGCGTTTCGCTTACCACACACGACAAAGCTTATGATCATGGGCGGCCATGTCCCAAATGCCGATGTCCTTGTCGCTTGCTGGCAAGAGGATTTGAAATAAGATAGATGCTTGCGCACTTGACTGTCCAAGAGACAATTTTCGTGTATTCGTTTGCGATGAAGGCGCGTCCGCGGAGGCCAAGACGTCTTACAATGTCTTCATCAAACCTATTCCAATGACTAATACATCGTGCGTATCAAAGATCCTCTTACTGAAAATGGAGTGTTGACGTAGAAGCTATTGTATCAAATCACTTGGAAGAGCAGGTAAACGTCGGGACAGGCAGGAGTTTTCCTTTTAATGTGTTCTTCTTTTTAGACAAGGCAGGCAATTTGAACCTTTTTCTCAACCACTCAAGACAGTTGCCAACTACTCCGAATCGAACACAACGTCACCAAAGATAAGGCTCAGATCCGACAGCAGAATGTTTCAAAGGAGGAGTTTGCTTGGGACGACCAGTGGATAGATCCCGCAACAGCCAAGTCAGGCTCAACTTGGCACCATAGTTTCAATGTCTAGCGTGCACAGCTTGTCATAAATGCCTCAAAATCTTTCTTCATGATAAAGTACCTTGGTTCCTCAAATCTCACCTTCAAACTTTGTGGCCGGGTTTGATGCATATCTCATCCCTGAATCTCATTAGCTGAGGCCAACGATGCTACATCTAATAGACGACCCGAATAGAATTATCCTGTTCACAATTCTTCTACAACATACCCGACAACGATCCATTGAGATAAAAACTATGGATCAGTTGGATGGTGCGTAGCGCGCAAGGTGCTTGGACTAGGTGCCACCGTGGGATGGTTGATTGAATTACAAGTTCCCTTCTGCAATCACTGTACATTGAACTTTTTGGTTAGGACCTAAGCTCCAATGAGAGGCTTTTATCAAGGCTGTAGGTATTGCAGTGCCAAGTTTGGTGGGGAGCGTGCTGTGCCTTCAAGCGTCATATCGAACTCGCAACTATTTGAGCGTTATAAATACAGACTATTTTGCAGACGAGTAGCTGGCAGGCACGCCTGCTCATATGCTTAGGCAATACAAAGATTGGAGATGCGATTGGTCCGCAACGACTTCCTGGTTAAGAACTAGCATAGGAAAGTACGGAATGGGCTAGTGCGGGTTATTGATGGAGGCGCTTCCGCAGCTGGCGTGGCGCAGCGGCGCGGCACGGCCCCGCCCTGCGTGGGGGAAGCAGCGGCGACAGCCACGCATGGAGTGTATGGTACGAGTTTGGATGATAGTGGAGAGACTAGGTGCACTATGTGATCGATGCTGGACTATGTTTTTACATACACCTATGTAAGTACGCTCATTGGCAACGGAAACATGCACCGTGTTACAATAGGAGTAGGGCCGTATCCTGACTTGGTATGTATGGGCCTAGAAGACACTAAACCAACACCGGCAAAGGATGTTAAAGTGCACGCCTAAGAAGGCGCCGTGTTATCCGTTGTGCCTGTGTGGATGTCCTATCCACCAAGCTTTACCTGGCAGAGTCTGGATACAGCAGGTCCATAGCTGCTGTGCTAGGTACGTCTGGCGGCGTGACGAACATGCTTACATTATGAGTTTGCTGATGCAGCAAAGGCAAAGGGAATCTACTCTGTAGAGAAATAGCAGCTATGTTCTCCCTTCGCTGCTGCTTTTCGGTTATGATTGGCAGCTCCACAAAATCTAAGGGGTCCTTGCATCACTTTCCAGTGACTTCCAGCATTAAGACATCTAATATAGGGAAAAGGAAGGCCTGAATACCCCACAAAAACGACCAGGAGTAAGCCAGAGTTGAATTCCATCAAGCACAGACAAATCCTAAATTCCCGAAACGCAATAATGAGCTTGGGGTTCACGACCTCATTGGAGGCCTTGCCAATGCAACACCAATACCGGCTGAACCTGATCGAACGCAGATATTCTAACCACCATTGATGATAATCATCATTGACAGTCATAGGCCTATCTGGCAGTTTTGAGGAATGATACCTATCTTGCTCGACCTTTGTAGTTTATACCCACAATTGCTTTGGAGCCATTAGAATCAGAAAAATATCTTTGCTACATCAAGTGACAAGAGAGTGCCTTAATTCTCACTGTACCGTATCTGCAGGCTGCCTAAGGGAACGAGGCCGCCTAAACATACATTCAGGTAAAGGGTCCGGCCTCTAGTTACTATATTACAGTTGCAGGAGTAATGGTACGCCCGAAATAGCTACCTGCGCGACGTACCTATCGACTCGAAGTATAAGTATCATACCCTCGACGTTGTAAGTTTGAATCCTCACCACTCACCAACTGACCAACTCACTTGTAAAGCTTCATAAACTTCCTTAGTTTCAAGACTTCCCAACAAATCAGCCAACATGAAGACCCCCTCTGTCGCTGTTATTGCATGCCTTCTTTCGCCCTTGTTGGCCGCTGCTGTAGCAATCCCGGAGTCTACAGAAAGAGCAGACATTGAAGTTCGCAGTAAGCTTTCCAGACCACACATTTTCACCAACTTCAGCAATGCTGACCAAGCCAGCCGCTGATCCCGCGCGAATCGAGAATGTTGAGAATGTTGAGAAGCGAGCGGACTGTTGGATTCGAGCCAACTGGTACAATAACTGGCCATCTGGCGGCTTCCGCCGATATGGTGTACGCCTTGAAGCCGGCCCAGACAACCGACGTCGGGATCTTCTCAATCTCTTCTGCGCTATCCTTCAAGGTAAGATTGTCGTTTCCAACCAATATTGGATGATTGATGCTAACTCGTACTGTAGGTAACGGCAAGCCAAACATCAACAACAAAGCTTGCTACTCTGAACCTGATGGCTCCTTCAAAGCCGACATCACGACATTCGAGGGCTCGCACGGACATGACCTGTACCTCGACTTTTTCCAGCAAAACTTCAATGACTGGCGTGGGACAACGAACTGCGACGTCGACAACCGCAATATGTAGATAGCTGAGTGATGAACCACAAAAAGATAAGAACGATACGTAGTAACTACAATATAAAATAACACAGCTACATCATAGCTAAAAGCTATATTACCATACTCCTATCCAGCTTTTACTATTCTATTTCTAGCTTTACTCATATAAAAATACATTTACTATTCGACTACTAATTGTATTAGTATTCTCTATAATTTACTTATATCTTTTTTATATCATATAGTAAGAATAGATAGATAGAAATTAAATAAATAGACTAGGATAAAAGTAGAGATTAGATAGAAGTAGAGTTGTAAAGAGTTAGGTAGAAGTAGAGTTACTAAGAGCTAGGTAGAGATAGAGGTTAGAATCTTATATTATTACTACTCTACTCTATCTCTACCTAGCTCTTAGTAATTTTATATCTCTCTAACTTATATAGTCTATATAACTCTATCTCTATCTTTTTTAAACTATAGTACTAGAATTAAATATAAGTACTAAAAGATTTATAATAAGTTAAGTAGAGATAGAGATTAAGTTACGATTAAATAATATATACTCTACTTATAAATACTTTTAAGTAAATTTTCTTTTAATAAACTACTTATTATATAGAGTTAGGTACTAATACTTCTCTAAGCTTAATCTAGGTTAGAGTAAGAAAGATAGTATAAAGAGTGCTATAAGTGTTTATCTAGTAATATAGTAAAGTAGTATACTTAGATAGAAGATAATTAAGGTTTAATAACTACTAGTCTATATTAAATAAACTAATAAGTAATAATCTTACTTAGTAGTATAACTAGTAAGAAAGTATAATTTAAGTTAACTATAATAAAAGTAATAATAAAATCTATATATCTTTATATACTTAATACTTCTAGTTCTACTATTTTATTAATTTTATTCTTCTACCTCTTAGTAGAATATCTTAAATAGTATACTATTCTAAAGTTTATTACTATTCTATACTTAGTAGAATATTCTATCTTAGTAGAATAGTTTATTAAATAATCTTTAGCCCCGTAATAGTTATACTTAGTATAATTCTTAGTAGTTTTCCAACTATTTATTATTATATCTAGAAAGAGAATCTTTCTAGTTAATACTTATAATATTATCTCTCTCTTTAGAGCTATTATCTTAATACTCTAGGTTATTATTTTCTTATATTACGTATTAAAGCGTTAGCTATATATAAGGTTAGTAGGCTCTAGGCTTTTATAACTATTTCTTTCTAATTCTAGTCTTTCTAACTATATATAAGGTCCTATCTCTCTAATATATTTCTACTTAGAATTAAAAAATAACTACTATTCTTATATTAACTATATTTAATAGTAAAAAAAAATACTATTTTATTATAAATATTTTAAAAAGAAAAATGTTAATCATCTTATAGATATAATAACTAGTTATTATATAAGTAATATATCTATAAAAGCTAAGTATAGTTTATTTAGATTAAAGAAAGAGTAGAAGTAAGTTTAGTAAGAGCGTAAGTAAAAGGAACTTTAAGTTACGTAGTTAAGAGCTTAATAGGCTTAGCTAAACGCTTAGCTTTTTTAATAATAGATAGAACTTCTTAAAGTAAAGTTTTATAAGTATTCTTTTACTTATTATAATTTTATACTTTCTAAGTTCAAGAATCGCGTAAAATAGTATACTAAGAGAAGCTCTATCTCTAGTATAAACATTTCTACTATTAAGCTATTACTATCTAGACTATTAGCTAATCTAGATAGGTTATAGGCTAATTCTTTTAAATCTTTATCTCTCTTAATATACTAGCTCTCTCTTAATAGTCTAGCTCTCTCTTTTCTAGATATTATCTATAATATACTTTTATTAAGTTTTCTTTTAGTTCTTAAGTATTTTAAATCTTAGACTATCTTTACTACTTAACTAAGTATTTCTACTAACAATCAATTTTATATAACTTAACTTAACTTTTTTTTCTCTATTTACTATATAGCGTATTAGATTATTTATCTTAGAAAAGAATAGTAGACTATACTCTAATCTACTAAAATTAGGTATTAAAAAAATAACTATATAGTTAAAGTAAAAAACTA